TGCTGAAGCAGGGTTACCTAGAGCATGTTGCCCAGGACCCTGTCCGGATGGCTTTTGAATATCTCCAGGGAAGGAGACTCCACAACCTCTCTGGGCAACCTGTTCCAGTGCTCAGTCACCCTTACAGACAAGAAGTTTTTCCTTACGTTCAGATAGACCTTCTGTATTTCAATTAGTACCAGTTGCCTCTCGTCCTGTCACTGCCTACTACTGAAAAGTCTGGCCCCATTCTCTTCATATCCTCCCTTCAGATATTTAAACACATTGGTAAGATGCCCACCTCAGTCTTCCCTTCCCCAGGCTGAACAGTCCAAACTCTCTCAGCCTTTTCTCATAAGAGAGATGATCCACTCCCTTAATCATCTTAGTGGTCCGTTGCTAGGTTAGCTCCAGTAGCTCCATCTCTCTCTTACACTGGGGGAACACTGGACACAGTGCTCCAGGTGTGGCCTCACACCAGGGCTGAGTGGAGAGGATGGCTGAGTGGAGAGGATCCTTCCTCTCCACTCAGCCCTCAATCTGCTCGCAATGCTCTTCCTACTACAGGAATGAAGTTCACTGTGGTTTCCAGCCTCCAACATCACCTTAAAGCAGAAGAAATTTCCTGAGACTTCATTTTAAAGGATTTTATGGTAGTATGTATTAAAAAAGACAACAGGAGGTGGTTCTTCAGACAACAAATATTTAAACTGTATAACTACTTTTCATAGGACATCGCAAATATTAGTTCATGGTCTCACATAGAGATTGGACAAGTTCATGGAAGAGAAATATACCAAAGACTACCAAGGCGAAAGAAATAACATCTAGCACGGGAAGTAACTGAGAGGTCAAAGGCTAGAGCCGAGGAACGTACACTTTTTCCTATCCTATCTGTTATCAGCCCCTGTCAAAGATGGGATTCTGGGCTAGACGGAAATTTGGTCCATTCTTAAGTTCTTAAAAAGGTAATTTTAAAAATAATATTGTGCGTGACTACAAAATGCTAAAGGACGAGGAGAAAAAAAAACTTCCCTATTGCTATTAAGACATATGTAAGTTGACCAAAGTCTTGTTTAGCAAAGATCTTAAGTACTAGACTCTGCTCTGCGTGGAATTTAGTAAAAGTTTCCCATTTAGTTCAATTAACATTTAACAAATGAACAAAGACATGAATTTAAAAAAACCTCTCAAACATGCAAGATGGTTAGAATGGTAGTCTTTAAAAATAGAACATCCATAGCTGCTGATATAACTCACCATATGCCCTTCACTTCACCATAAACAGAAGGTAAACCTAGCCAGTTCAGATACTATCGTTAACAGAAATCAAATATACAGACAATATCTGCAGTAAAATTATTTTTGCCTTACCTTAACATAGTGCAAAAAATAGTAATTTGTCAATAATGGTAGAAGAAAAAAATACAACCACATGGTTACTCTTACATGAAAAACATCCAGCTGTCTCCTAGTATTAGTTATGATTTTGTTAGCAATGTCCTTATTAGTAAAATTATAAACTTTTTTCCTCATTAAAATGCACAGAACAAGTATATAGAGCTAGGAACAACCCTGTCCTAGATAAAAAGATGGTAGTGAAAGGGTAGGAGGAAGGAAAGCCATATTACGTGGCTTTTCAGGTTACATTATCTGTAATTCAGAAACAATTTGATTATAGCTCTAGATGATCAAAGAGAACATCTGATCAGAAAAGAATCACACTAAACAATCTATAAACACCTGTTTAAAGTTTAGGTAACTTTTTTTTGTGCAAAAATACCTAGCTTATAAAAGCAAGCTACTGTTTACCTGAGGACTTCAATTACTACAGTCATGGAGGTCATGTCAAAGATAAACTAAATAGCTAAGATCATGGTATCAACAGTTCTAAATATCTCCATGCTTCCTTCCTCAGAGAATGCGTAAACGAGGGTAATCATCATTGACAAAAACTGGAGAGAAAGTAAGGCTTAGTAGCAAGGCACCCCTGTAAGAGCATTATCCATCTCTAAGATGATACACTTGGTCTAGAAAACGCCTAAATATCCTTTTACATAAATAAAATGTTCTGTTCCATCTCTAGGACAATGGTGGCAGTTTTAGAAAATGGGTAAAACATTGAAAAGTTGCCTTCTGCATTCTCCCACCATATCAAGAGGGGATCTAATGCTTTAATGCTTGAGTCAGCAATTCTGAATCCCTGAAAAAGTCTCCTCTCTCCCCCTGCTCACCAATTTCCTTTTATTAGATACAATAATACATTAATTTTGGGGCGGAAGCACCAGAAACCTCATCCACCAGGATTAAAAAGGAAGTATGTTGCTTTTGGTGGACCAAAAAATAGAAGATGTAAACAATCTCTCCCATTTGTCTCACTAACCAAAGGCCTGACCTTTTCTACAAACTAAAGAGTAAAATCCAAAAACAATAAAGACTTCCTCTGCAGACAACACTCAGGTTTAACATGGGGCCTTCAACTTATATTACTGCTTCTGTAGCTGTAAAAAAATTGAGACAGTGTCAAGGATGCAAGGAATTAGAATTTCAAGATGCCTTATTTTTGTTGTGTGTGTGCGTGCGTGCGTGTGTGTGTGTGTTTTTAACTGGAAATCATCCCAATCTAGTAGCAATATAAAGCACATATTACAAAACTAAAAGCTAATGACATTGTCAGCTCTGATTGTTTTCTGTACCAGAGTAAATTTCATTTTATACAGTTAATTAAGAATCAAATGGTATTTCTGAAAGTAGCATATTTTTTCCAAAGTTTTCAAAATTAGCTTTCCCACATTAAATTAGCTAAAGAAAGCTAAAAGCTAATGAAATTTAGGAAGATTTGCAATAAATTGAAACTTGAAGTTGCCATTAAGTGCTGAACATTTGCAATTGCCCTAAAAAAAAGTTTTACATTTATGCAGAAGCAAATTATATTTAATAGTTGTGCTGAAATCCATTATCTTCCCTAAAGCAACCAGAAGAAGCACTTGACAATTCTGCTCTTCTAACCTATCATCCTTATGCTCTAAAACGAGCATCTCCACTATTACAGGGAAAAAAAATGGATAAGACCATTTTTTCCTCAATGATAAGTAGTAAAGATATGCGTGAGTTAACCTTGTTCAACTAAAAAGAAAAGGAAACTTTTACATGTTACCTCCCTAATAAGCAGCCTTGTAAGTCTTCTGTTCTTCCTCAAAGATCAACCCTACAAACTAGAAATCTTATATCCAAAACAGTTCCGAAATTGCTATCAGCTAGTGACCTGCACAGAAGAGAAAAGGCTTCTGTGCAACACAAGACCAAACTGACAGCCAATCCCTTGCCCTACACACTTGCAATAATGAGCATGTCACATATTACACAGGTGAAGAACACATGCATCTTACTGTATAGTGTGACATTAAAAAATACATATAATCTTTTAGTGAACTGTTTCAAAGTATGTCGTCTTCAGTATAAAAATCAAAAGACCCATTTTTGCCATCTGTTATAGACCTCGGAAAACGCTGACCTCATATCACACTGGAAACCTGCGGCAGGGGTTGAGACTGGACCAAGGAAAACTAGGTTTTAGGTCAGGCTCATAACCTCAAGACAAACTTTTCTATCTGCAGATCTTCACTCCACATATTTGCGGTCCTCCAGCTGCTTAAATCATATAACCTCTCGGACAGGGACAGAGTTCTGCCAATCAAGGGTCTCATTTTGGATCTAGAGAGTGAGGGACATTTGTCTAGTGATTAACTGACATTGTCAACAGTCTCGCTAAGCAAACAGATGTAACATACTTATTCTGAAAGGCAAGGTAATTGCCATTTTAAAGAACTTTGTTGCACTCTCAGCACTCTCAGAGCTAATTTCATGCCATCTCTGTTGTGTCCCTGTTTTTAAAGGGAAGTTATGGTTGTTACAGGAGCTTCAACAATTCACAAAACAGAACATCCTGTATTGCAACACCAGGGTTACTCTTCAGCGCTGACTGTAGGATGACGGTAAACACACACACCAATTTGAAATCAGTCTACAAATGTTTCTATCCAGCCTTGTTAGGCAGCAGTAAACCTAATCTTTGCTACTCTTTGTAATTTGTGCTGCATTCCTACAGAAACACAGTATTTTTTAGCCCCTGCAAGCTCATAGTTAAGACAATTATATGCTGTAATGTTTTTATGGCTAGTAGAGATTTCCTTAAGGAATAGAGGCTATTTCACACAGTATGGGCACATTTTGAGTAGTTTCAGTCAAAAAGTGAAGTTCAAGAAAAATTAGCTTCTAAAGTTTCCAAGTATATTCATACTATTTGGAATATATGGCAAAATACTGATACTCTTTAAAAAACATCTGCTGGGGAAAAAATTGCTTGATACAACTATGCATGATGAGAAACAGTCAGTAGGTCCTTAATGCCCTAAAAAAAAAAAATCCTGTTCTATCATTTGTACTTTGTACATGTGTTTAGTTTTTTCGATTCAGTTTCCATTTTCATCATGTTCCTGTGCCTCCTTCACCCTGAGGTAAATTGCCACAGGTGAAAAAAAGTCATTTCTAAAGCACAACCTTTTACCCACTCATTATTTCACTCACGGAGAACCTACTTCAACCCCTTTTTTGATGAATGCTAGTTTAAGGCCTGAAGTTGTAATGATTAAGGTGGCATCTTTTAAAAAAGCTGCTTCTCTGCAAAGTACTTGGGGATTTCAGCTACAGGTTTAACTTGCGAGGTCTTTAATATATGGACCTTCTTTCTCCTAAACCATTTAAAATCATGGCTAGCAGCCTGATACAAGAATGTCTGTCATATCCTCTCCATGCAAAATGAACACAAATACAATTTCTGACAGCAGTGTACCTATTAACTCTGAATTCTGCCTTCTTTGAAAGAGAAGGCACTATTCTGCCTTTTATAATTCACTCTTTCGTAACTGTGACATCCTTCATTGACTACTGCAAAGAACTGAAACATCATATTTCTGCATACTTGCAAATACCCCAAAACTTTTATTTCCAGAAGAATCTAATATGTTCACCAGTAATAACAGCAGCATAAATCTGTGACAGCTATCAATCCGCAAAAGCCGCATAAGGTGGAAGTTACAGATACCATTGCATATATGGCAAAAAAATAGCCGTTGACAACTTCATATTGCTGGACTGCATAAGCCTTTAGAGAAAAAACAACTCTTGCTTTCTGAACTCATGTACCAATGAGATCACAGTTCTTCATCAACCTCAAATAGCAACAGTGCTCTGGCATATATAAATAGTCTACTCTCATTCCACTAAACTGAGTTCCTGAAGTTCCTATTCTTTCTGGAGGATATTTTCGGGTAATAACACAACATGCTGCTTTCTAAAGGCCAATTAAAGCAAAAAGCTGTAGTACAATCTAGGGAATTGTTTTTGCTCTGAATTGGGGCAATTTCACTTCTGTGGCAAAACAACACTGCTCTTCCTTCATCTGCATCCTATTTCATTCACCTAAAGATTTATCCACATAAGAAACAGTGTTCCACAGCAAGGGCTTTAAACAAAGAGATGCTCATTAAAAAAATATATACCTTTTCAGCTTCTTCACTAGTCACCAAACTTCCCCCTGCTTCATCTTTAGTGATCAAAGAAATTCTGTCTAAGAAAAAAAGAAAAGAAAAGAAAAAAAATCATTATAAAGCTTCCCAAAAATCCACTTAGTGTTAGAAATGAAAAAAAATCTTCCAAATTTCAACTTCTAAATGTGTCATCATCACCGGGAAAAAAAAAAGCTCAAAGGAAAACGTGATCTGCATAAATGAATCAACTATCATGATACAAAAATAAATTAATGAAAATATTCATAAGCTTGTGGAAGTATCCATTTAGGAAACTGCTAATATTATGACAATCAAACTAATGAGACACTGAAATCATAGATCACAGACAAAATGCTGAAAAATCTATCAACAATTACACTTTTAGTCACTCTTGGCATGCTCTTCAGCCTTAATAGCTTAGAAAAGTTAACCCATAACACACATCCACTGACACTGTGTTTTGATCACCAAAAGCAGTGGTCCTGCCCACTCTGTTGTACCAGCTCCATTATCCCATGCAGGGTTTTTTTTGGGGGGGGACGACACTCAATTGCTTTTAACCTCAAATATATTCCCAGTCTAGCTCATCCCTGGTTACGCTTGTACCTGCGCAAAGAAGCTGTGGGTATGAAAGGAAAGAACAGTAGGTTCAGAAGTTTTCAGCAGCAGGACAAGTTTAATGTGCCTGTAGAACTACGTGGCAGGGTTTCATGAGATACATCTGCCTTGCTCCTGCTCTTTAACTCATTCACTCTCATTCATCATCTTTTGTGGGCTTGGTGATTGAAACAGCTCATGAAAAGGTCTGGTGCATATCACACTTGGCTGAGGAGAAGGGATGGGAAGGGATGTGGCCAGAAGCAGGGAAAGCAGAACTTCAGCTTTTGGTAGCAGGAAGCCAAAAAGCAATCTCAGCTACCCAGTGAGACCAATTAGACTATGCATAAAGCACCATGATTTTATCTTCTTAGAACAAGACTGTCTTTTTTGTAGGAAAAATCTCAATCCTGCTTGCGTTCGTGAATTTTTAAGAATATTGCCCAGTTTGTTGGAAATACTGATCTGTACCAAAGTTACTAGCACACAGCATTCTAGTGTGACTTTGGAAAAGCCAGGTTTCCTGTTTCCAAAGCTTCTTTTCAAATTTCTTCATAGAAAGTCCCATATAGTACAACTCGATACAGTATTCTTCAAGTGCTATCTTGCACTGTTTGTGGTGTTGAACAAATTCTGCATTTCTGAAATGGTTGAATGAAGTAGACACTAGACAGTCTAGAGTCCTTCATTTTGAAATGTGCTATACAAAATGTGCTATACAACTGCATTTTATAGCATGTACCATAAAGAGACGCAGTTGAGAAATTTAAATATTTTCCTAGCACTGGTTCCAATCAAAATCAGGGGTATGATGTAAACAACATTCTTTAGTGCATCATTTTTTTATTTGTGAAAATGTTCCTTTATTTATGACTTGTGTAGCCTCTGAATGTCTTTTGGAATTCTACTGCCTGCTATCTCTCAGTTTAATCATAGGTAGGTGTCATAATACCACATATTCTGTTTTCCAGGTTGCTTAAATACAAAACAATCAGTGATATGTTTCAATGCTATGCATGCCCCTTTTGAAGCTTAATATGGAAGAGTCTTTTTATATCTCTGCTGCATGAATTTTTCCATTTATTTTAAAATTCATCTGAAATCGTATCTTCTTCTTCTTACCCTCTAGCATTTAAGTTGTCTCTCCTTTCACACTATTAATTTACCATTTCAACAAGATTTGGCATGGCACTAGGAAATGTTGCTGGTATGAAATCATCAGTGCAAAAAAGTTGCAATGTGAAAGAAAAAAATTTTCACACAAGTTGCAGGAATGAACTACATCAGAGATGCTGCTCGGTTTTTAGTTTGAGCGTCCCACTGCTAACATAAGGTTTCCTCTCACACAATGGATGATTTAAAGAAATACACTTAAAAAAAAAAAAAAAAAAAAGTACCGCCATCCTACCTTGCATCACTATCTCCCAGAAATCAGCTAAGGCTTTATCGTCCACCTTTGACTTCAGGGCCTGCAGAAAATCATTAAAAGACTGCACCTTGGACAGCTGAAAAAAAAACAGCAGCAATGATAACAGAGAAATATTGAAGTAGCTTACTAAAGAGAGCTGCAAACTTAATTCTTTATGAAGTCATCTAGCAGCGAACACAAAAGCCATCTCAAGATTTACCACTACAGCTTTATCTCCTCACTACAGATTTAATTGCACTAAAACCAAGATTTCTAAGGTAGGATAAGTCACAAAAGAAACTGCATTTCAAAAATGCAGAGACTCTCTTGTAACTAGCTTTATTTAAAAAGAAATTTGGAGAACAGTCCACTTTTCTACAAGGATCAGGTTGCAAGCATTGTGTTTTCATGTTTAAAAGAAAACAAACAACAGTAAATAACACCAGGGAATCTAGTCCCTATTTCAGAGGGGATAAAGAACCACAAAGTGCAAGTTGTATTTCTAAACTTTCAAATAGTACAGTGGATTTAAATCTATGAATCATTTCTTTTTGCTATAGCAATAATATATCAAGTTTTTCACATAGCAAGTAGGCTCATCATGCCTTTAATTTAATAAAGATCAGAATTTTCATATACCATCATTACCTTTATGGCCTCCTCTCTGAAAACTTTGATACAATTGATGGCTTTCATGTAATACTGTGAACCTTTATTTTCCAAAAATTGATCAATGCGGTTTATCAACTGCTGACTCACTGAAAGAGGAAGAAAGAAAATGCACATTTTCAAAGTGAGAACACATTTTTCCATTATCTCTCTTATTATTCTACCCTCCCTTGACAGGCACTACAGGAGCTGATCATACCCATACCTCCTCAAGGTACTCAGCTCAATAACTGGCAAATGAAAAGTATTTCAGTCACTATGAAAAAAAAAAAAAAACCACACACATGGCCAAGGCAGGAAAGTTTTCACCTGAAATCCAAGAACAAAGCACTGACCTAGCTTGTTTGACAGAAGGTAAAACGGGAACATTTTGGTTCTTAAACCTGAGGAAAGTTACATTCTACGACTCTAAATATATCCCCTAAGCATCTTTGGAAATAAACACGTATTTCAATAGGAGAGTTACAACAAGGATGCAACAGCGTCAAAACATTAGCTGCAGGGTGATTGCTGTTAAAAGACTACCTTGTTGCTATCGACAGAGTACACCTTGCCTTTCCCTAAGCTACCTCAGTGATTCTTCAAATAGGGCAATGGTGTTCATCCTCGTGGAGGTAAGCGTTACCAACTGTGCATGCCCGGCAGGGAGAAGCAGAGGCAGACAACGAGACTTGTACTGACAACAAGGGGAACAGCAGTTCTAGCCTCACTACTGAGTGACTCTGAAAAGGTAGGGAGCTATAAAACAGTTCAAATGCCAGTAAGAGCTATGGAAGCACAAAAATTCTGCTGGATTTTTGTCCTTTATTTTCTTCATGTTTAATTCTAGGTGAGGAACATCCCAGTTTTATCCTCTGGCAGATACTTCCGTCTGGGAAAGTCAAGTGCAGTGAGGGAGGATACCGTAGTGATCTATAAAATCACAAGCATCATAGAAAATATAACTGTTCCTCTTCCAAACCAGGAACAAGGAGGTAGGTTAAGAACAACCAGCAGAAAGTACCTTGCCAAGGAAAAACAGTCAACCTGCGGGACTCTCTGCTGCAGGTTGCTGTGGGATGCTAGAAGTCTTAACGGCTTCAAAAAACGCTTGAACAAATTCTTGGAAGAAGAAATCTATTAAGGGAGATTAAACACAAAGACAACGTTGCCATTCAGGAAGGAAATGCAGGAAAGTATTTTGGACATGTAACAGCACCTGCCTGCTCTGCTCTTGTGCACTTGGCAGCCAGTGTTGAACACCGGTTACAGGACTAGGAGTATCTTCAGTCTGACCTACAGCCATTCTTACATTCAGATGCCACGGGCATGGATGTCATTACAATTGTCTCAGCTATGGAAACATCACGATAGAAAAATCGTCGCAGACTAATGGAAAAGACACTTACAAGTAAACACGCTGAGAAGCACACACCATTTAAATACTTTATTCTACTCTGCTGACCATAAGCATATACAGAACTAATTGTCATGTCTATATTCTATAAAATGCTTAACTGAATTGGGTCTGAAGGACAAATAGCTCTGAAGAAAAAAGATAAATAAATAAACCACAATGTGTTTGATGCTCTCCCACTAGCTGCTGATCCTGAAGAGTTTCCAGAAAAGGAGGCGGATGGCGATTCTGTCCAACAGCAACTATAACACAAGAAAGTATCCTAAAGTGCTTACTGCTCCAGAGGTGGTCAACTCACTCTTATTTATTTACCAGAAGCTGACAAACTAAATTGAAGGCTCACTACTTAAGCTCCACAAGTTAAGTCAGTCCATTTTTTTCCATGCTTAACCATTTTCTCATTAAATGTTCTAATTCCTTACGAATTGCACTAATAAAAGCAAGTCCTGTTGGTGTTTTTGGTGGTGTTTTTTTTTTTTTTTTAATGCTGCAAATTCATTGATGTGTTAAATTAAAACCTCAGGCATTAAGAGGGTGTAATAAAAGTCTTTATTGTCAGAATGATTCCAACATGCTGTTTGGAATTATCAGATACTTTACTTATTCTTTTGTATTTAATCTTTTTTTTTTTTTTAAATCTCCTTCTATTTGGTTGCACTGGCAGCCATCAGAAGCATATACTTTTGCTTGCTATAGACTGAGCTGCCTCTTCTGGAAATCTATTGTAAGGAGCTAAAAGAGCCCAGCATCATTTCACTATACAATACTGCATTATAAGGTCATAATATATATAGGGGGACAGGTTACTCTGCAACAGTTACTTGAAGTGAGATTCTTTTAAAAACTTGAAGCAGCCTGGCTAAAAATGGGTCTGTCCACAGGGTCTCAAGTGACAGAACAATGATTGCTGAATCCAAAAATGCATAAATGGATAAAATATCTGTGTTCTGATTAGACTATCAAATTACTTCAAGGGGTCCAAGGCAGTACTAGAGACAGCAGATAAGGACTATAGAGTTAACCAAAGTAGATTTTATTCCTTTACACTTAAGGGCCTGAGAAACCTCGCTCATTTCTTCCCTTTCTTCTACTACCTATCATGTCCCTTTCTGTTAGTGTGAATCTTTGTTTTCAGGTGCTGCAAAAAGTAGATCTCCCTACTTTTGCAAAAAAGGGTAAGTTCTGCAAAAAGATCCATCTCCATATAACTCATCTGTGAATATTAGGGCAAACTGATGCATCCCAGACAAATCTCAGATACTGGGGTTTTGAAGAGCAGGTCCTGGAGCTGCGAACTCATAGCTGATTCAGACTACTACTGTGTAATAATCTTCTTTTCCTATTCCTCCCCCTCTCCCTATCCCCCTTTTAAGGAAGTAAAAGGGTGAACTTCCACATTTGGCATAAGCTGGAATACCAGAAGTCCTTAGGAACCATCATTTTTTGCAGATCATCCCAAGAAATTTTAATCTCCCACGTCCTTTTTTTACTGGAGTCGATTGGTTAGACAACGTATTGAGTGATTACAGACTGGAGAATGACAAATAAAAAAAATGTTAGACTAGGAGAAGATCTATTAACTCTAACAGAATTCTGATCTCTTCCCCACTGGTATTGTGATACATTCCCCACCCTAAGATACATTAACTTGGGCTGTTACTTTTTGTGAAATATGCCATTGACGATAATGTTTTCTGGCTATCCCTGAATAATTGTGGTACAAAATTGTAGTTATATTTTCATGTTTGTTCAGTTCAGTTGGTCTTGATCACCATGTCAACCAGATTACAGCATAACAACACATGAGGCTGCATTATGGTCCAAATCTAATTCCTTGTGGATAATTTTTTTTACTCCATCAAGTAAAAAAAAAAGTTCCTTCTGTAGGCAAAAGATTCCTATTATTAACAATCTTGTGAATTATCCAGTGGTGGTGATGATAATGATTTGTATTAATGGACAGTGGCTAAAGTACGAGTCACTGACAAATCAGGAACAGTACCCAATAACAACTGTTAAACTATTGCTCTATTAGGATGATAATTTTGTAACCCACAGGAAGAAACAGATTCTAAACTGAAAATTGACCTCAGTCACGTGGACTTCCTTCATCTTTAAGCCAGCTAATCAGAATTTTAAGATCAAGAGCTACTACTCCAGTGTCCTACGAGGTGCTGTTCAGTTTTAGAACGGTGCTTCTAAACAGCCAGGACGCTGTGGACATAGATCAGAACAATTCAGGTTGGACCTCTGAAGGACATCTGGTCCAAACCCCCACTCAAACCAGGATCACTACGGATCAGGTGGCTCAGTGCTCTATTCAACTGAATTCTGAGCATCTCCAAAGATAATACAGTCTACAGTTCTCTGGGCCCCTATTTCCACACTCAACTCTCATTGTGAAGAAAAAAAAAAAATTCCTAATATCTAATCCAAACTTTGCATCACAATGTCCTCCTAAGAAAAATCTGGCTTTATCTTGTCTATGAAGCAGACATACAGAAAACTTCAAAGTGATTTGATAAACTCAAGTATTTGGTTTGCAAATATTCTTCTAATGACTAAACCATTTTCATCAAACCAGTCACTGAACTTGGCCTATCTAGCAGAGCATGACCAGGGTCTAATATATACAAAGACACCCAGTAAGATAAAAATACCGATGACCTGCAAAGACTTATGCTAATAATAAATGCAGTGAAAGTAAATATTAGTTTAAAAAAATTATCTTTGGTCTAGAAATGTAGATAACTATATCTCTTTCTACAGAAAAACCTTGCAATAAAATATCATCCCTGTTGCAACTTCCTGATAAGTTTCCAGTGCAAGTCTGTCCTATAAAATTCTCTTATGCATATGAAGCATCCAGTACAAAACCACCTTGTCATACATTTAAGTGATCTACATGCCATGGCAACAGTGTGACACCTCAGGCAAGAGAATGTTTGCCGATATCTACATACGCAGTTATTGACTAACTTTATTTTTCTGCAAATGTCGAGGAATAAAAAAAGAAATATATTGACAAAGTTGCTACTAACATTTGAAAAAATGGGAGTTTGGTACTATTTGTCACTGGACATTTTCTCTAATGCCCATAAACCGTACAGTTGTCATTGCAGATTTCTCTCTTCACTGACAATCAGCAGAACAAAAAAAGAAAAACTTTTCAACCACACGACTTGAGACATCATGTTCCCCCACAGCAGCGCTTTAAGATGTAACGAAATCTGGCCAAGAAACTTGCACAGAAAATTTTCAAACCAAAAGAAATACCACGTATGTGTTGGTATCTTCCCCCCCACCCAATAAGCCGCCCTAATTTTCACAGAATCCTACAAAAATACAGCAGCCAGCATCAGACACCTGCTGCTCTCCAGCAACGCAGGGACGAACAGTAACTTGTAAAAAGAGTAATAACATGGAATGGTAGTCGTGTAGCTACTCCTTTGGCATTACAAAGGTGGCAAGCACTCACTGCGTTTTAGTCTTCTCTGCAGTCATAGCAATAAAGAAACTTGTTATATACCTTTGGGAGTAAAGATTAGATTCTGCTCAGGCAAACTAATCTGTCTTACTCGCATTCATTGACAAAAATGTCAGATGCTGTTATTAGAGGGCTGCTTTTTGTGATGACTATGCACTTGTAACCTACTCAAAACAAGACTTGCATAAAATGACATCTCTGTGGCCATGAATACAAACAGGAGCATAAAGATATCCGGAGGAGAAACACAATACTAGTTTCATCAGCAATAAACATCAGTGAGTAATTTGGCACCCGAGCATACAACTGATCACGTAAGCTGTAAGTGGGTCCCTACAGTAATGAACCACACAGATGTCAATTAAAAATGAAGCCGATTGCTGTTTCAGGAGCTGAGCTGCCAGTCTCAGAAAACTTATTGCTCAGACCTCCATCAGTTTGAAATTTAGAGATTTTCAAAAGACTAACACATCAGTGAGCAGATTCTCACTAATGGAGAACACGTCGTTTCTCCTGCTCTGGTCCGCTGTGGGACTCGACGCTCAGACATGGGTTGTCGAACCTGCACTTAGGTTTGTTCTACGAACGGCACAAAGGCAGAACCTTAATCATCAAAATCCTTGTGCAGGCACTGCAAGAGGTGCATTGCTACCCCTTTTAGATGATAAATATCCTATTAGGAGAGTTCCTAAAAGCTTTTTCTTTTCCCCTTGCCATAATTGGGTCTTGATAAAACAATAGAAATATTTTGCTGTGGGATGTGCTGTGCACTGAAAAAGTTATGCATCATTAAGTTGCACCTTAATTAAAAAGCCACTGTATTGTCAGTCTTTGAAGTACAACTATTCCTATCACTACAGCTTCTCTGCTTAAAAGAAAAATCAAAAAAAAAAAAAATTAAAAGAAAGAAGGTAATGACCACCAGCCCTCAGTCCTCCTTTCCTGTAAATACCAGAGAGCGGTGAAAAAGCCTTTCTCTTCTGAATATCCCTCTTAAGTCTTGAAAAGTTAACATTTTCCTCAATCTCCAAACTTTACTGGTTTCCTGTTTTATGTAGGGATTGGCTGATTTGCAGAGAGGGGAGGAAGGAGAGGAATTTCCTGCCCCCTCTCCTTTTTCTCCTTTTTTTTGTAATAAAAGCGTAGGTGCTATTCAGTTTAGAAGACGACACTGGGTTCTCTTTTTACATCATAAAGAAGCAAAACAGGGCCCATCTTAATTTTTCTCCCATCTGCATCCTGAAACGTAAAATTTAATTATTGTTTTCAATAGACTATTTGAATGCCATAGATTATCCTCTTCTGCAAAGAGACTTCACATTTTATATTTTTCAGCAACGAAAAAGTTCCCTCATCAAATACGATATAAAATTATAAAAACCCCTCAGAACCACTGAAGAATTTTAAGGCAGAATCTACTATTTACATAACCAGAAAGCAATACAGCAAGCCATTAAAAAAAAAAAATCTGTAATGTTTTATGTATTAAGCTACTTAAAAGATTCTAAAGTAGAAAAAGGAACAAGCAGCAGAAGAAAAAATATGCAGAGCATGTTTTTATTTATAGTGCCTTCTATCTCTCGTTCAAATGGGTGACTGCACTATATTTTGCATATCTAATATAATAACAGAGCACATCATATACTAAATGAAAGCAGATTTCTCAAAGCGTAAGGAACCTTGCAAACATGCACTGTAGTCACCTCCAGAGCAGCTACCAAGTGGACACATTTAAGCATTCTTTATTTATATGTTATTCAATGTAAGCAGTATTCTTATTCTGCCTTAAAGCTTTCTTACATGACAAAATGAATTACCATAACAAAGCAGTCAATTGTTTCAGAGTTGTTGTATGCAAATATCTTGTACAGTGCTTTTTACTGCATCTTAATATATCTGAGATTTGAGAATACAGTCCCAAATATTTTTTCAATAAACAGAATTTCTTCTAGATCAAACGCAAAACTTATATGAAAAGCTGGCAAGCTAGCTTATAGTTCCAGAAATTCTGAAGCGTAAATAGCTATCTCAGACTGTATCGCAAATCTACATCCTTCAACACATCTCAAACTATAACAAAAGGGAGCAAAGGCCGAGGTTAAATGGCCACCACCTCCCCCCGAGCAAGGAAAAAAACTGCAGCTATGAAAAGTAATGCTCTGTTGTTGGCTATCGAGTAGATGAGGTGTATCATACCACAATCTTAAAAATCACCCTTTGAAAGAAAAAAAAGTCAGCCCATACATCTTGAACATCCCTTTAAAGATACCTCCGGATTACATATATCTCTATATAACTATTCCAATAGGGAAACTGGATGCAAATAAATGTGAATTTGCATTTTCAGGCTTAGAACATGCAAGACTGATGAGACAGTAGCTGATCTGCATCAAAACTGTCTTGTCTTCCCAGCGTGCTGAGTACTAGATTCAGCACACAGAGCTAGCTCTTATCTCCTAAGAGTCACACACTACGCTTGTTACACTCTTACTACATTTCTTTCCTAAATTCACCCACCCTTTCCTTTGCTCAAAGACAAGTCAGGAATGACCTCTGCATCTAAATATTTAAATCCCAGACACTACATTTTCATTTCTTCATAGAACAGGGTAAGCAGGCAGCAGAGAAGAGCTTTCTTACCCATGCTTTTCGCACAGTGCCCTGCTAAGAGGCCTCCACTGTAAACCACAGGAAGATCACATACACACAGAGAAGTCAATATACAGTCTAAATGAAGCAACCAGTTAGTGCCAAAGGGATCTGCTGCTGCAAAAATCTGAGGAGTCATTCAAACGCTTTGACACAGCTGTCTCGTGCCATCTTACAAAAACAAGGGTATCTGAGACTTTCACATGGGGAAGGCAAAATACAACATGGCAATTGTGAGCGACGTCTGTCTTTGCTGAGTGGCACTGGAAGCTAGGCAGTACACTCCAGAGCATCTCACAGAGCACTAGCTACCTATGCTTAGACAAATGGATCTCATCACTGAACCCTGAAGATGCTACTGAATATAGTTAGGATAGATAAAAGTCATTTACCTTCGTTGAAGACAGCATTTTTCTGCCTTACCAGAATCTGGAAGTCTTTTGCTGGGTTAACACTGCCAACCTAAAAGAGGCCCAAACATGATAGAATTATCTGCCAATATCCATGTCTCTCTTCTTGTGAGGCAACATGAATCTTTATGTATCTGTTTATTTTAACACGGAAACAGAAGCTCTACGCTTCTTCAGACGCGGACTCATAAAACGCAAGCCTTAGTATGTGTACCAATGTGAGGCGCTCCTAGCAAGGCTTAGTTACAACGTGAATTAGATGAGCTTACCCTTACTATACTGCACTCTTACGAGCCACCCATATCTTCTGGGGTTTAGAGGTCAGAAGCATAGTAATTCAGGTCACCTGCTTTGAGACTTTCTGAAGCATAGACTTCTTACTAATCTTGACAGATACTTAATGAGGAATGGGAGCTCCTAAGCATGTGAATACAGAATCACTGGCTTACTACTCCAATAGTAAGCTCAAAATTAAAAGCTCACACTCAATTCATCTACCCTTTCTGGCCCAGTCTGACATTTTAGAGCTTCAGCTCTAAATAAGCATAAAAATGCAGAGACCTTGCAGAGAGCAAAGGAACTAAAAGCAGGCCAAACGGAAATAAGTGTTTACTGACAAATGGATGCGGTAACTTCAGAAAAAAAAGTCATTGCTTAGTATTTCAGGAATCAAAATTCTTTTAAGTTTATTTGAAATTTAGCTACTTAGCTGTCAAAATACTTCTTAGACAGATCTTTCAATAAGCTTGCTTGATCTGCTAGTATGTTTTCTTTAGATCTGGCAATGCCACTTTTCAGAAAACATTAGAAATTGCTATTAGAAATGCTGAATACTGGGCACAGCTCCAAGCCTTTTTTTTTTTTTTTTTAAAAAAAAAATCACTATCATGTATTTTAAAAAAAACACCTTAAAGGAGAGGATATTTGAAAACATATTGAGAGATCTCAATTTATATTAAAATCACCCTTTCTCCTGTGACATGAAAAAATAAATAAAGGAATATGTGTGATCATGATCCAGGCTTCATCTGCCCACAAATACAACATCCAATGCTAAGTTAAACGTTTAGCCTAGCAGCAAGATAAGCCAAATTTGTGATTTGGAACCCCAACCAATTCAGAGAATAGGCTCCGAAATCACAGCAAGATCTTTGATTAAATAGAGAGAGGTAACTTCTGTTTTACAGAAGATACAAAGGAAAATAAAAACAAAATTCTACCACTGAATCCCAACTCTGATATTCTGTTTCATTTGGACCCACAGACATGCCCTTTACAGTTTCATGCCTCTGGGGAGAATTTTATTCTAAGAGCATGTGGGACTGATATGAACCTGTGCTAACACATACCCAAAAGCAGAGAAAAGTTCTCTTTACATGGTGGTAGACAGTCTCAAAAATTTACAAGCAGACAATGTTTGAGTCATGTTTCTGCTAGACACCTTCCCTTTATGAATTCTGTATATCCACTAAATTAGTTTTTGAGAAATAAATCTTCCCCTTTGACAAAAATATCTGTAAAAATATGCTTACAGAGGTGACATTGCCTTCAGCAATGCTTATGATGCTAAAGCCACCTTCTTCATTTTCAGTTTTTGGCTTCTTAGGGTTGGGTTCATCCTCATTGCTGCAAATAAGAAGGCCAAAAGATAAATACAAGCAATTAATTAAAAGTAAACTGCCCTGGATCCTAAGTAGAGAGTTGGTGAATTTGTAAAACATACACTGAAATGGGAACGTTGGACAAAACTTCATTACACAAATGTTCTCGAATTAACAATATACCATACCTCATTCTTCCCACAGAATCACAAAAAAACCCAGCAGAAATGGAGATCAAATTTTATCTTAGCATACCTTGAAGGTATGAGATTATTCATGCTTATTTCAGGAATGAATTCATTCACACATCTCTTCCACCACTCAGAATAGAGAATATCTCCAGTCACATTATTTGGAAGCTGTATGTTGTGCTAATTTTGCTATTTTACAATATATTCATGATATTTGGTATTCTCATCAGATGCCTTTTAAACATGAAATGGTAATGAAAACTTAAAATTTTAAGTGAGAAATTTATTTACCCTTCAAGAATTATTTGCTAGTTCCTGTCTTGGAACTGGTAGCTATTACATATCTGTTTACACAGAGATGTGCAATTCTGCTAACCCATATTCTCCATGAGCATGCGAGAGCTTTAGGAACTTCCACTTAGAGTAGTCAAAACATGATAGACAACTGCCAATTCAGTATGCAAGCGCACTCAGGAAAATCTTAAACTACAGCTAAAAGTGCTCTCAAAGACTATTTTTAATTTTTGAAGAGGTAATTGTGGTTTAGGTTACCATTTAACTTTGCTCTCACAGTTAGCATATACCCAGGTGTAGACTTGAATCAAAAAAAACCAAACTGCAATATCTAACATGCCAAACTTTAGAGCATATCTTGGCAACAAGGGTCGGGGGGGAGGGAAGAAAAAAAGGGGGAAAAAAAAAGAAAAAAAAAAAGTCAAGCTAATCACAACAGAGGAAGAAAGTCAAAGACGTTGTGTTCTGTGTTGCTTAACCTGACAGGCTACTGACACAGAAGAATCAGTTTCACTCTAAGAAAAACTGAAAGCTACTGAGTGACCTAAACTGCAGTATTTGTAAATCAGTGTTCACAGAAATTGAAAACAGAATAAAAGAAAAGGTTATTCTTAAAAGTTCTACTAGCACAGTGAAGAAAACCAACTGCAACTAGGGAAAAAAAAGAGATCCTGGATCAGGTGCTGTTTTGCATATTTCAAGGCTGGAACTGATGTTAAAAATGGTACAGCATGTTACAGATCAGCTATTAGAAAGAAACTGTACTTCCTTTTGTACTACAAGAAATTGTCTTCCTTTTCACTTTCTACAGCGTACTCCTCCCCTCCTTTAGAAACAACGTCTCTCCCACTTTGTTTCAACAGTCATCTTTGTTCTTTTACTTAATTTTGTCACTACTGAGATTAAATCCCTTCTCAGCAACTCCTGTCATCTTAGATAAGCTTACTTATTACTCTAGCAGAAACGACGACTTTGGTTATGCCTCAGGACAAGGATAGGATACCCTGCTTCATTCCCAGCTCCGCTGACTTTCTGGCTGACCTAGGGCATGTTGATCGATTCTTCTGAACAGCAGATATCCTTATTTGTAAAAATAAGGGGGGAAACTGGTACTTATCTAATACCAGAGAGTTTAGAACTTCTGCTTAAACTAAAATTCATGAGCGTGTTGGCACAGTTGGATGAAAGGCACAATGAATAATCAGCAGTCTCTTTTTAGAATCTTCTCTTTAAAAGCCGTTTTGCAATTTCTGGCAATATCTTGAGTTTGTTTTTTCTTCCTGCATTACTGTTACTGATTCACAATGTTTTGCAATTGGACAAAGGAGGGAAACATAAGTGGTAATACTGCACTTAACTACCTAGGACCGAATCTGTGGTCGCCATTAATCATTGCAGTACAGCAGAAACTAATGAACCCATACCCATTTATACCAGTCAGGGATCTGACACTTAATATCTGTTATGGTAATACATGTAATGCACTGATTAGCAGTATTTCTAAAATGTGAAACATACAACTACTATTTGAGAAAAATTAATAAAATATACCTAAGATTAATTTAATACACCCACTTCTACATTTATACAGAAGCCTCTCACATACTGAAGAACTGGAGGAGGTAACAGCCTCTCCAAGGCAAACCTAAGAAGGAAAAAGTAAAATGCTTCTATTTTACCATTGTTTTTTTGTTTTCTACTACACAGCGCATAGTACAAGTGAAACAAATGAATTCCGAATATTCACACCTACTAGGATACCATACATGCAGTTATGTTGCCTTAGTCCCATTAGATATTAAAAATTAAACAGAGATGAATCAGGTCAATATCACGAGGGGAGACATCATTTGAAAAAGACAGAAACAGGAACAAATTAATTTTAAGAAAACAGAAATAACAGTCAAGAGAGCTGCTAGCCAGTTTTTTCAAAGCATTTTAGTACAAATTATCTAGATTTGATGTTCTAATAAGTTGAACATTATCTGCTATTAATACTCTTAATCACTGTTGTAGTGATGCAATTTCTCTTCATCAAATGATTTAATTGTATCATCCAGCTTTTCCTAAACACAGAGCAGAAATACACAGTTAACAATACTGCTGTAGTGCTGACAACACTATTATTTTCTTTTATTACTACACCAAAATCAGATTCCTTCCAGTTATATTTTTCAAAATCCTATTACCATTAATTTTGCTTTGCACAGCTGAGTGTTTGTATCCTTTCACCCTCCTTACAGACTTTTTTTTTTTTAAGTTATCTTAATACCTACACCACATTCTAGCTCAAATATTTTTATAGCTGTTCCTACTTCCCCTCTAAAGCAAACCAGTTTGGTTTTTTTTAAAACCAAAATAGCCTTCCTTCTTGGTTGCCACATTGAAGCCCTTGGGGTAAGACAGTTTTATGCAACAACCAATAACGTGTCACAGTTTTTTGTTTACGTTGACTCCATAGCTTGCTTGGCCCCAAGTTTTAGTGGTTTTTTTGGAATGGTCCTATAGCATCATTTTTCTAAAAATATATATACTCCCATAGAGACAAACACACACACACAGCAACTGGGGCACAGAGCAAGGACAAGAAAATTTAATCAGTATGAATTCACAGACACAGCAAGGCAAGCTAGGCACATGACGTAGTGAAAAAAAAAAAAAAAAAGCAAGCATTTCTCAATCTGCTTGCAGAAAAGATGTGATCATTATCACAGAGCAGTGGTATGAGAAGTCCTAAAGGAAGTCTTCCCAAAGATAACATGCTGACGAAGCTCCAGTCCACAAAAGGTAAAAGATATATGACAGCTGAGTTAAGCAGGCCCAGAAGTGGCTCAAAGACACTGTCCCTAGTGATGAAAGAACTGAGCTGAAGAGGACAAAAGGAAAGGAGGAGTTAACTCAGAACTCTCCAACATAGCTCTATTACAGTCATCCAATAAATTAAACTAAGAAGCGGATTTTGCTTGAGCAAAACTTGCTTGAGCAACTTAGCTGAGGAGCAAAATACAGTACCAATTAAACATTTATTCTTCATATTTGCAGAACAAATAACGTAAACACAGTATACATAATAATAAAAGCAAAGATTTTTTGGCTTAAAAATGTTGAGAGAATAGGTGTTCTAAGAAGAGTCCGTAACAGCTTGTTGTTTCAAGACATCCACATTATTGCACAGTACACAACATTCTGTAAATTAAGTTGCCTTTCTTTTGACTTGGTATTCAAAACAAAAGCTGCACAACAACCAAATTAGAACATGCTGAGATGGAAGATTCATCTTAACAGCTAGTTTAAAGCTCTACATATTTATTCTAAATTGAATGAGACCCTTTTGTTATTCAAACTATTTTATAACTAGCAGGAGGACAAACTTTTTAACCAGTAGGCAGTCAAGTACTGCAACAGTTAGCACAGAAGTTCTGCAGTTTCCACCCTTGGATGTTTTCAAAATCAGACTGGACAAATTACCTATTTATACCTCATAGCTGGCTCTGCTTTGAGCAGTAGGTTGAACAAGTGACCTCCTAGGGACCCTTCCAACCTGAAGGATTCTGTGATCCTGTGACAACAAATACAGGCACAAACGAGCCGCAGAGTGGGTATTAGGATGACTTGCCCCATGGCAGCCAGAAGACCATCACTTTCAATACCCCAAACTGTGGTACCCACAACAGTACTTTTTCAGTACGTAACTCACATTCAAAAAATTCTGAGCCTTCTACATGCAGCAAGAACAATTTGAAGTGTTTTTTAAAAAAAAAGTTAAAAAAAAATCCATAAAACATCTTCAACTTACTTATCTTTGAAGATGTCTTGAGCAGTCTTGCCTTCTTTTTTCTTGCCAACATCCTTCAGGGGGAAGAGCGCTTTTATTTTTTCAAGAGGAGCCTGGCACCTTTCTTTTACTACAGAGGGCATCTCCAGCATCTCTAAAAGGTGCGGTTCAATTGGCGGCAATGGTTCATTGGGGTAAAAAGCCTTATGCTGCAAGCACTGTAAGAAACAGGTTAAGCAAAGACAGACTTTCAGGTTATATACTTTTAATATAATATGCCTGTGTATCTGACTTCATATGCAATATTCAAAATGTCTCCCATATTAAAGAGAAACTGCTTTGGATTGCTGAAATGTTCCAACTCTCAAGTGGATTGGAAGTCATACAATCAGTCATTTAAGGAGATTAATAAAAATATTAAATAAGATGACAGATGAAAAATAGCTGCACCCACACCCACTGTAACAAGCTCTAAGAAAACTATGAAAAACCCTAGCAATGAAATAGTTATTTCCAACTATTCGGCTTCTTAACTTCATTTAACCTTTACAATTTAGTCCCCTTACAAAACACAGTCACATAGGGAGACTTCCAGGAATTCCACAATGAGATATACACCCCAACTTTGTATTCCAGTTATCGGAACAATTTATTGTTCCTGAAAGAAAATATTTCTTCTTCATCAATAAAACTCAATATGCATAACAAGAGAAATTATCACCAGTTTAGGAGTAAATGACAAGAGAAAAATTAAATGTGTACAGGTGAGGCACAGAATGTAGGTATGTCTGCAGATGAGCTCTGAAAAGAATGAAGGACGGGGGGGGGGGGGGGGGGGCGAAAAGAGAGCAAAGAAAACAACATGGCAGGAGCTACAGAGGAGAAGGCTCTTTCACCAAAGTGTTAAAATAGTAAAATAGTACGCACAGTCAGGAGCGAAGAGTGAGCAGGTTAATGAGGCTGGCTACAGAAATTTGAATGGGAGTTTTAAAAATAAAGTGGGCACCTTTCAAATGCTATCAAGTACAGGGTGGCAGAGAATACATGTGTCTGCACATATTATACACTCACTATATATGTGTGTACACATATGTATGTTCAGACACACATGTTGTACACTGGAGAGTAATTTTTCCAAGCCCACTGTGCCACGTGAATCAGATAGTGTGCAGGTACGTACTCCATACATCAGGAAAACAGTCGAGATCTGCCCCCCTGTTGGCTGTCAGATATGACCTTAATTTAAAAAAGGAAAACAAAGCAAACAAACAACAACAAAAATTCTATTCATGCTGAAGAGCTGCCAATAGACCATATGCTACACATCAATACTGATGTGCTTTCATGCTGCCATTAAGATTCCAATCCATATTAGCACATACTTTCAAAAAGAGGCAGTCATACAAAGCTACTGATTTGTAAACACTTGTAATGATTTAAGGCATAATTAATTTGAAAGAAAGTAAAAAAGTTGCTCGAAGCTGCAGTAATAGCCCTTGCAATACAGGAAAAAAAAAAAATTTAAATAGCGATAGGGGATTGAATTAAACTCACAAAGCAAAAAACCTTAGTCCCCTATTGTGACTGCATTTTTTTTTAAAGCTTTTGCATCTGAAGTCCCTAAGCGTGTAGCTGCAACAGTTGCACAGAATGAAAAGTAGCCACAGCCTCCACATAGTCCTGTTTTTTAGAGTAGATGATGACCTCTGAAACCTGGGTGGTAGATACCTTCAAAACTTAGATGCTAAAAGGAGATAAAGTTGAACAGATTTAATCTGAAGTTTCTAATCCTAGTCAGTCTCTTTTAACCTTGCTTCCTCTTTCCTCTAGCAAGAGCCCCTCCCACTGGACAGCAAGACAACCCATGCTGCCTCTAGCTTCCAGACTAACTGTCCTATTTGTGCATGTCCAACGTACTGGTTCCTCCTTGCCCTGCCTAATATCCTTAAGTTTCTAGCCTAAAGATGTTACCAAGTTTTGGTGGCAGAAGGAGGGACCACACTAAGATACTGGTCAAAGGATGCAAGTGACGTGGGCTTTTACACTTAACTAATCACATGGTAATAATGAAAAATGGAATAAATGCCTGAAGAGATAGGAATTAACTCCAAGAAAGCATCCCGCCACATTCCCTTCCATAGAGCATCTAGGAACATGCTTTCAGAAAAACATATCCTAGCAATTCTATAAAGCCTACGAGAACTGACTAGTATTTAAAGCCTTAGCATATGGGAGCTATATTCAGCTGTCTCAAAATCAAGCATCTAGTCTAAATCAGTCACCTACTCACCCTCCACAATCAAAACTATCTCATATTTGTGATGTCCAAGATAAGGATGAATTCACTTTTCCAAGGTTCCTTTGCCATGGATTATGGAATGGGCTTAGACAACTCACCTTACAGCTACCTAGCTTTCAGGTAGTTAAACATGTTTGAATTCAGTCTCAACCCAACTGCCTTCGAGTTCAGGACAGTTTGTGACCAGTTTAAATCACCTTCCAACAGATCCACTGCATCTAACCAAAGATGAGATAACTTGATGCTAACAGCCTTTGTAGACTTCTGCAAGCTACCTCCTGTCACCCTCCAGCCTGCTTTTTGAAACCATATCCCACCATCACTGTACAGTCTAACCACTTACAAACAAGCTCATTCCTCGAGGGTCATTTACATGTGGCCTAGCAACAGCACGTTACAGCATTTTGGGGGATTCTGCAGCTGAATACCATGAATTATGCAATGCTGCAGGCCACCTCCCCCACACATCTTCTCCTCAGGTCTGTCTCAGTACAGAACAGTCACTGTTGAGCAACTTATTTGTTTGAAAATCACATAAAATGCACAGCATTCCATCTCCAAATGTCTTACGCACTTCACATCCCTGTATCGAAGAGAAAACTTTAACAATGAGGTTGGAATTAAGTTTGCCACCATGAAAATCACAGAAGTTAGTTTAGGCTTTTCTGGAAGCAAAGAAAAAAGCTGAAACTCTGGATATAGGACATTCCTCATCCTCTACCCCAGCAAGCATCAGCAACTCCATTCCACCCACTCTGTCATTTCCTGATGCCTACCACTACTTCCAGAGAGACAGTTTAGCTTGATTGTTTCTGTTTAAATTCTGACTCTTGCTCCTTATCATTCCAAATATCTTCACGAGGCAACAGAGCAAGGAAATGGAGGCAGAATTCATCTCTTCCTCAGAGCTGTTTTTTCCAAACAATCTGCTGGTCCTGTTCAACCCAATCAATGTACTGGCTACACTGGAAAGACAATTTAAAGTTCATCTTTGTAGCATCTAAGAAATAAGCAGTGTCATTTGTTTAAAAAGCAAAGTATTAAGAGCCTGGAACATATACACAGGAAATTAAAGCACAATCTTTCTGTAATTTATATGGCTTAATAGTAGCACTATAACCAAGAATAAAAATAGACCCTATGTGAGGGTAAAAGAATGTGCTAATCGGCCTGGTAATTTAAGGCTTTATAAAAAGCAAGTAGTGTGGACAGAACTGCAGACTACCTAACACATCGAAACAATAAATAAATACATTTTCCATCAGTAGCATTCGCCCTTAAAAGTCCTATTATCTTCTAAGAAAACTGGCAAGTTAAGAAGCTTCTCTCCTCAGGCAGCACTTGACTCAACTGTTGGGACATTGCCGTCACTTTGTTTCAGAAGACAAGGCACAACAAAAAAAGTTTCTTTAGGTAACAGGTAACATCTGCTGAAAAAAAACACGCAAAATTTTATCCAGTAACATAGGAGAGAGAATTTCTCTCTCCTATGTGTTTCATTTATAAGTGAAACCGTATCAGTTTCCTAATACACAAGTTTTACGGTCCTTCCTAAAATAGGAGCCATGCAGACATCAATCCACTTTAAGCTCTTCCCTAGCAAAATTTTCTGCTGACCAAATCTTACATTTAGCTATACACTGTCTTGTCAGTATGACTGGCAGAATTTAAAGGGAACATTTAGTACCTCAGCTGTCAATCAGAGTAGGATTTGAAGACCCTGCACTTACTTGTGTTCCTGAAACCTAAATTTGACCTTCAAACCCTTTGTTATTTCTGAAAATGCAATGAAAAGAAAGAGACACTGACTTTTGGAAGCCAGGGTGAGTTTTCTTAATTTAAAAGCCACTCTACTGGTAGAGTGCAAAAAATTCCATTTGGAATTGTTGAGACTTGATAAACATACAATTGTATGGCCACTTCTGGTCAATTTTCAGAGTGGAGTCGCACTCAAATTCTGTCCATGGCACTGCATACAACACAACTTTGCAGCTGCATAAACTGCATCATAATTGTCCTTATTTTTGAATTTGCTGTGTCATTTTTTTGAACACTTGAATTCCAATATATAATTAAGTCTCTCATCCTCAGAACGCATAGAAAAACTTTATGATGTGAAAGAAATGTAAATCAAAATGCAGACAGCTTGATATAATAAAATGCAAAAAGCGTGAACTGTTCTGTTTGCCTGTAAAATGCGTCAACTCAGACATCTAAATGGAATACGTTAAACGTCAATGCCAATAACCATTTATTACCAATCAAGTTTACCCTAGACTGATCTGTTTCAGAACCACTGCAAGACGCAGCGATGAACAGAGAAGTGACCGTGCTCAAGATTTGCTGGGACACAGAATGCAAAGCCTGATTTTCCCCAATTTTCAGTAAATTTCTCTCTTTGCCCAGAAGCTGAAGCCTAAGCCTATGCCTGCATCATGGTCACTGCAACACAGTGTTGACATAGTCAGGCAAGTTTTGACTTCTGTCTGCCACAACATCTGGCACACATCTCAGCACAGGTGTAATTTTTCCTGCTTCTTGGAAGCCAGAAACGTTAAGAATAAAATTATGTCAGGAACAACCTAAGACAGCAGTAGCAACAAGATGCACGTGAAAGAATTATTATATACTTTTATTATTATATACTTTTTGCAGGGCAGATGATTTCAATGAGAATTGGAGAAAGAGATAGAAAGATGACAAGTTTTAACAAGAGAGAAGTTTTTAAAATATGCCATATAGTTCATCATCTCACCTGGTATAATCTCTGAAAATGAGGGTTTGGGATTTTGCTGGGCTTAAACAGGTCCTCAAAACTTTCTCCATCATCATCTTCATAAATCAAATTCATAGAATCAATCAGTGAGTCAACTGCAGATAGCTGATCCGCTAAGACAGCGATTACATACAAAAAGAGATTAAATACATTTGCAGATGGATGCATTTCTTGAAACAATTTACAAATGAAGATTCACTTCAGAATGTGAAATTTTAATAAAGGCATTAAATGTCGCTGCAGTTATAGACATGCCAACAATGAATATGGATAATGGACACAGTAATTAAAAACCCTGCTTTGTTTAAGCACCACAATGTAAAGTTATAGAGTCTTTGGGTTTTTTTCTGTTTGTTTTTTTTTTTTTTTGAAGACCTCAATTATTGCTGCCTTTCTGCTTTCATTTTTCTTCTTTTTCACGATGTTTTTATTTGCAACAGAAGGTTTATAGGCCATTTGGAAAATAAGGAGAAAGTTGTTTTGAAAAACTAAACTAAGTAATACGACTTTTACAAGTTATGATTGTAAAATAACTCTGTTCATGATAGCCAATTATTGCTTTGTTAAGATAGGTTGCTAGATCTGTTCTCAAACTGCCAGTTACGGGCAAGAAACGAGCACCTGATTTAGAAATAACCCAGCATCCTTTATATACCCTGACCAGCAGAGGCCCATTCAATGGATCATCATACAGCAAATTAAAGAAGTCGCAATGGATTTCAAACTACATCCGTTGCGCTTATTGTTATGAAAAATTCTTGGAAGAGTGAGTCAAGCTTAGGTGCCTGCATGTTCTGTGGCTTTCCAGATGCCCTCTCTCTCTGAATCTGGACACCAGTAAGTGCATGCTTTAAAAACAAACAAAATAAAAAAAAACCCTACACATAAAAATACAGCACTGCCTTCACCTTTCGGTGCTACATTAACAGTCCACACTGCAAGTGGCTGCTTTATCAACTTTGCATAAATTGAGCTGATGCCTCTATTCTAGTTCTAGAGAGCTAGGCATATATTGCAGATCCCATGACAGGCCACAGCCAGTTAGTCTTAAAAATGAGTTCAAAGATCAAGGGTTATGGAGGACTAAATCTCAGATCTCTATCAGAGAGATCTTTTAAGATTAATAATCACATAATCCAAACAAGAATTCATTCAATGAGACAGTTTTAAAAGGTTGTCTGCAAACCTCAAATCTGTTCAGCCTGCAACTAAACTGCCAAAGTTTTGATACCAGCTTTACACTTCAGGATGACATCACCATAATATATTTGAAAAGAGCTGTTTTTTCTAAGCCAGAATAACCACAAAAGGTTATGTTTTCTTTGGAAAGCCAGAATGCTCTAACTATTTCAGAGTACCTTAAAGAAAGGGTAGTACATTACTTTGTCCAGGTGCCCAGGAAGGGACTTTTCTTACCTGTAGGAATATATTTTCTGTTGTTTTTCAAGGAGGAAAACATGTACTGTCTTAAGTCTTCCATGTAGGGTAGCTGCACGTAGATGAGACACTAAGAAAGATGAAGGGAAAAAGAAACATCTAAAAAGAAACAGCTAAGTATAAAGTGAAAAATCTAAAGCTCCTTCGAAGTGCCCCACCAGGGCAAAATAATATATCAAAAAATGAGAAGATCCAATATTTGTATGTATCCAAAAAATATTCACATCAAAATATTTAGAACAACACAGTTTGAAGCAAAATAAAATAAAGGATTATTTTAAAGTATAGCAATGACTAAACTGTTCAGCCTTATACTGGCTGAATATAGACCTCAATTCATTTTTCTTGATGGCTTCCTGTGCAGAGTTCCATCCAGTCAAGCTTTTACATACACCATGCAATGGAGCTCTGGGAGTTCCATCTTAGCTTACTGTGTTTCAAAGTCAAAAGTTGTTTTTTGACATTCTCAGACTAATTTTTTTTCTTTATTCAAATACCTCCTCCAGTTCATATCACCCTAAATAATTCCTTTCCATCCTTTACACTTCTAACAGTCTTCAGACTTTTGAAGGGTATGTTCGCCCCCACCTTAGTCACTGCTTAGCCACGCTATACATATTTAGCTCTTTGAATAGTCTCTCATAAGTAAGATCAGCGGAAACATATGCTGCATAAATTCTGAAGTATTGTGTTGCTTTCGGGTCTCCAAGAACATTTTTAAAATTTTATTATTTCAAATATGATTCTGTTGTGCAAAGAACTCTCCTTAAAAAACAAAAAACAAAACAAAAATAAACCAAACAAACAAAATGTAAAAGCTCCAGGATAACAAAATGAAATTATTAGTATGTTATTGAAACAAAAATTACTAATTAAATCTTTAATATAGAGGATACTAATAGGAATATATCGCATTATTTTTTCCATACACTTCTGCTGGGGAATTTACTTAAAACTACTTATTACCTCCCTGTTCTGAACTGTTACTATTTTGTAAAATCACTCAAAAAAATCCAGCTGGTTTCTTCTGCTTTTCTACCACTCTGGAAATTCACATGGTTCAACTGCAATCATTTATTAATTGGTATTTATAAAGCATCAGTAAGGAGAGCCTCTGAAGAAAGATAAGAGTGAAATATTACCTCATATGCATCCTTAATATATGGAAAGGCTACGCCAATTTGTGGGTTACTTCTTCTATCATAAGCATAACGCACTATGGCCACTACTTTCAACTCGGCCAATGCATGGATAAGGGCAGAAAAAGCAACTGCTGCATTCTGGGGGAGGGGGAAAAAAAGAAAAAAAAATAAAAAATAAAGGTCTGCAAAATCATACAAGTTCTCAATAAAGTCTGTTAAATACATCTTTCACAGTGAATTCAACAGCACTGATCTAGACAAGACTATTTCCCTTTTCAGCTATAACTGTGACACAAGCATTTTTTATGCTCAGAAAACGAAACCGTTCAAATCCTATCACGATAGTGGATCTGTTCAAAACTGAGCGTAAACTTTAGATTCAGTATGTACAACCTTTTACACTAAGCATAAAGAGAGAAAGGCAGGCAAGTTGGACCCCTAAAGGAACACATCAGAGCTCTGCTGTGAAGTTTTTACTTCTAATATTTAGAACAGAGCTCTGAATTATTTTAAATATCACAGTGGCACAGTGAACTGCTGTTCTGTGTGAGAATGGATCTAAGTATCAATGTAACAACTTCTCTATGCCCTTGCACATCAGTAATATTTACCAGATTCTCATTACTCATGAGATGTGGTGCTCATTTGGAATCTGATCCAATTCCTTCTGACCTTGATGGGAAATGGATCAAGGCTTTTCTAAGCTGCACTAAGAATATTTGGGTTATTAACACTGAAAGAACTATCTCAAGCATTGCTACTATTTTTTCTGTTTCATAGCAAAACTATCTTCAATATTAAACTTTTGTTCACCTTACCTCATCATCTTTTGCTGCAAAGACCTTGAGAACCTGGCTGCCCATGTAGTACTGCCTCCGGATCTACAGATTCATATGGTCAAGTATTAGTTTGATCTAAGACAAATATCATTAATGTAATTGGAACAATTAAGTTATGAAACGATCAAGATATTACTCACATGGAAGAGCTGCAGAATTTAGTTCTTGTGCATAGAAGTTAAAGTCCTGCATATGTTTCATGTTTGAATTTATCATATAATATAGATATTCAGTTATATTCTGCATATTGATGGGAGGGAGTGAAAGACAATGCTGCTAATCACAGTTGTTACCAGTCTGAGTAATAACACAGTAATCCAAAAGTCAGCATGGAAAGTCACCTAAATTTTGCCAACAAAGATGTGCCAAACAAGTGGTGAAAAAAGTCATATCCCAAGTTAGTTATTAAAGCTATTTCAACAGCAACCTGAGTATATACAGCTATGCTGGCAAAGGAGCACTTCTGTTAGCAGAGTTTACGCTGTCCATGAACGTGGCGGACAAAAAAAATAATTATCAGGTTCATTAAGGGGCCTTACTGGAAAAGCTGGAGCTAGAGGCTGAGACACACCCAAGAGAAACACCGCAACTGTGGAATACTTGTCACAGAGACTCTGCACATTATTATGAATGACACAGGAAAAGCAAAAAAGTACTGATTTCTCTGTTTAAGAAAATCTCTTCACACTATTAAACAACGAAACTCCAGGTAGTCTGGAGACTGTACCATAATGCTGCTGAAGTCAGTGACAGCTTACACGAGAGCAGATCTGTTTCATGGATTACAGTACAATTCTTGAACTGAGATTACTGTACCCACAATTACTCCTTACTGCTCTGTCTTAAAGAACTCAGGCATTTTTATGTTCAGTATAGTAAAAAGATCTAGATGTGTGTATGACTGCACCTTTTTTGTTTGTCAAAAATGGTTCCTCTACAATACTTTCAAGTATTATTTCTTGATTTTCATGGCTTTGCTTATAAATTAAAAATCAAAGTTTAAGCGGCCTCTGATCTTCTTTCCTGAGGGATGTGAATAACTGAGAAAATAACATGAGGTGGTTCTACTCCTTCTTTAATTATGTATTTGGAGCTGTTCCAGTTACTCTAGTTAATAATAAATTATCTTTTCTCCAAAGTTTTTACAAGAAACAATTTAATATAAAACATACATTTGAATAGTATTAGGATTATGACTCCAAACAGCAAAATTCAGGAGCCAAAACAGAAGGAAAGTATGGATCTGGAAAATTCTAGTTGTAGTTGAAAAATGTCTCAATATCATTAGCTTTACAATATAGTTTTAACCCTGCAATCACACTGGAATAATTTCATTCCATTGAGATCTACACAACTACTATGGGGCATAACTGCTCACACTTGTTTACAGGACGAGAGCACATGTTATTTAAGATGTAATTTTTATTATGAAATCCAGAGACAGGTGAAATACATCAGAAAAATACCAAAAGCAACAGCATTTGGTGCATTGCAAAGATTGTGCTGCAGACAATTTGTTAATTCTATAAGGAATATTTATGTGAATTCAAAAGTATTCCCACAATTAATTTTATGCAGACAGATTGAACATATATCACCATACTATCTGACCAACGGTGTAAAAACAACCCCATGTGAAAAGACTGCTCATCGACAGCAGCATTACACCTCTCATCTGTTTCCCTCTTAACTGTTTCCTTTATCGATGAAGGTCAGACTTCAAGTTGAAATAGGAAGCCCGCCTCCAGTGCAAGAGAACGCAGCACATGATGAAATACATCTTACAGAATGAGATGAAGACAGTAATATTCAGCTGTAGGCTAGTAAGACGTGCAAAAATTGCAAAAAACTGTCCCATTCAGACTTACAAATGTTGGACCCAGCTTCTGGTACAGAACTCAGCAGTCTCTGGCTTATCTCTGCCCTCACCAACTCATGACATAAGCTCAAGTATGATACAGTTCCTTGGTCAGTCTCTTTCAGTGCACAGGCTGCTGCGTTACTTAACAGCTTTAAATTCTGGACGTCCTCAAGGAGCAAACAGATTACAGGTCCCGTTTAGGCTGGCTTCCCATTTAATAAGAAGAGCTCAAATTCCTGGCTCCTTAGTTAACAACATGCTTAGGTCCATTGCACATGAATAGTCTAAGGGCATATCTAGCCTAAGGGTCTCTGTGCCACATGTACAGCTGAGCAGAAAAATGTAGAGTTGCATCTTTTTGAGAGTCAGCTCCCATGGATACTCCCTTTTTTATTAGCATCGTTTTTCCTGGCAAAGGTAATGATTCCTCAGCCTTTTAAGGTTTCTATTTTGCACAGCCAGCGGGACATTTCAAAGAAGAGCAGGAGGGCTGGGAGCTTTCAGTACGGCAGGAGCAGAATTGCTCTATGACTTCCCTAGAGGCTGTAGTTTGGGTGGTGAAGGGGACTGGGTGCAGTGAACTGCAGGATGAGTAAAGTTTCAGTCACCCTGCAGAAGGGAGAGCGGAGGCAGCTTAACATTTCTAGCAATTACTGGCACTGACATTTCCCAGAATCACAGAATGGCCAAGGTTGGAAGGGACCTCTGGAGATCATCTAGTCCAACCCCCCTGCCCAAGCAAGGTCCTCTAGAGCACATTGCCCCGATCACGTCCAGGCAGGTTTTGAGTATCTCCAGGGAAGGAGACTCTACAACCTCTCTGGGCAACCTGTGCCAGTGCTCTGTCACCCTCACACTCGAGAAGTTTTTCCTCATGAAACACTTCCTGTGTTTCAGTTTGTGCCCATTGCCTCTTGTCCTGTCACTGGGCACCACTGAAAAGAGGCTGGCCCCATCCTCTTGACACCCCCCTTCACATACTTGTGCACATTGATGAGATCGCCCCTCAGTCTTCTCTTCTCCAGGCTGAACAGGCCCAGCTCCCAACCTTTCTTCATAGGAGAGATGCTCCAGTCCCCTCATCATCTTTGTAGCCCTTCGCTGCACTCTCTCCAGTAGTGCCACGTCTCTCTGTACTTTCTCCTCATAAAACCCACTTGAAGAAAGGGTTGTTAGGCCTTTGCCTTATGTTTTCCTAATTTTCAAATCCTAGCTTTCCAGCAGGAAATCACCTTGTGTTGGTTTGCTTTTATTAAGGTACTCCCTCAGTACTCAGTACTCCCTTAAGTTTCTTGCAACTTCCAGGTGAAAGGATGCCAAAATTAATCCCGCAAGTAGAGTTTGCTCACAAACACTACGCATCTGTTGAAGTATGGACAACCTTTGAACGATTTTACTTTCATCAACACTCTGAACTCTTTGCTACATTTAACTTGTCACAGTAGAAACCAAAAGAAAGCCATTGTTTATATACTAATCCTTATGGAAATTAGGACGGATGCAATTAGTTCTCAGGTTTTCTTATAACGTTGACAGGTTTCTTCTGTTAGAAGATGAAAAGAACACACAAATGTGGCTAGATGAAGCCCAAGAAGGTTTCTGCACAACCGGAACAGAAGAGAGACCATCTTCATCTCACGTCACTACCTGAGTTACTGAGATGAAATGATGGTAAAGGACATCTGCAGCAGCCGCTTTGTGGAGATCTGAGATCAGTGGCTCCGTTTTAATCAAGGGCTCAGCAGCACGTAGTGTTCATATCTACTAGAATCAGCAAGTAAAAAAAAAAATCACCCCTGACTGCAGGTGCCTCAATCCCAGTCACTGGAACTCACTGCAACACCAGTACTTCAGTGAATCTAAACTGAAATCAATTGTCTGTAACTACCCAGTAAGTTGAGTGTGAAGTTCAGTACCATACCTGAGAGGATCTGCTGAATCCCAAAACAGAAAAACATTTTGCTTCCGTTTTGTATTTCATTTGTTCTTCATCTACTTTGGAAAAAGGAACTATATCACTCCCATAGCGAAACCCTGCAGAACAAGAGAAGAGCATCTGGTAAGCATATGGGCCTACAATTCTAACACTGAAATTAGCTCTCTGAATATTTTAACAATGCATGCATGCCCCACAGCTACACTCTACACACACACACTCATCAAATTACTTTCCCTGTTAACAAAAAAACCCACACACCCCATAAACACATTTTGTTGCAGTTGCACTTCTTGTACATCATTTTACGCAAGAGACTTGCGCTTGCAGATAGCAGGAAAGAAAATAAGGGAACAGAGCACCCTACCCAAAGTTACGCTCACAGATTAGCTCTACGTAAATGAACTGTAACACTCCCTGCCAACTAATAGAAAACCCCAACACAAACATACCACAAATCACGTACAGGAAGTGATGCCACAAGAGATTCAGAGAGCAAAATGGGCTAGCAATGGAAGCGAGATACCTCCTCGTACACGATGGAAAACTAAAACGCTCCTGTATGAGGAAGCGGTCCTGCCAGTCTACTACACATTCCTGTTATTTCACTTCCCTTGCCTTACATCACAGGGATATTTTCACAGAATAGGAACCTGTTCATTTCTCAGAGGTACAATCTGTTGCACCTGCTTATTTCCCCATTTCAAGTTACAGTATCTTCCCTGTAACATCATACTTCATTATACTGTCATAGACTACAGATCGTATCTCCAGGTGAGAAGCAAGTAGAAGTAAGAGGTAAATCCCAGGATGAAGAACCTATATGCATGCAAGTTTTCCTGAAAACCAAAAGGCAAATGAACAAGGCAAATTTCAGAAAGGCTGCTACAAGTGCAGAATATTGTCTTACTAGGACATTTCTGAAAACGCCCACAAAAGTCCACGAGGCATCAGCAGCTCTTCAACTACATCATGTATCACACTGTTGATAGACAAATCCTGGTTAACTTTTAACTTTTCACCACTTCTTTTTACTAGTATCCCAGATCTTCACCAACCGGGCCAGTCAGGACATCAGCAAAGAACAGATACAAACGCTCCAAAAATATATCCGCTAGTAAAAGTAAATTTTTTTGGCAAAAGATTTGAAATTATAAAACAGACTACTAGTTTTTTTTTTTCCCCCCCTATAATCATTTCTGCTGAGAAAAAAAAAAAGAAGGAAAAAATCACACCTGGGACATTTTAATATGCTATTGTTACAAAACACTTATGATTACTACAATTGAAAGAGGTTTAACACAGAAAATATTTGTCTTCATTTTTTAAGTTATTTTGTGCATTTGACGGCACTTTCTATACTGTTATCTGAACAGCTGTCCCGTTTAATAGTACATTTGCCCTACTTGTGTGAGTTTCAAACAGCAAAAAGGAAAGAAAAAAATTTTAGTAGTAAAAGCTACCTATACAAGTCACAAGAAATTATACATATCTGCTTAATTCAGTTTTTAAAAAGTAAACTATATTTCATACTGCTACTGGGGCCTTTATTCTTTTACGATATTTAATCCCCTGAAAGAGAGGCTGAAGGTTATAAAAGATGATCTTAACCATGCTAAGTACTCTGCATACCACTACCTCAGATCAAACCTCTTACGTAATTTAAACAGTAAATCTAATTGTCTCTTGAACACTAATGCTTCCTTTAATGGTTTCATCTTCCCAACTGAAGACTAGAGTATTTGCTTATCTAGAAAAAAGCAGTATTATGAAAGTATTCATGTATCAGCACAATTGAAAAGTTGAAAAGAGCAGAGGCAATATCACTACTCACTAGAGAACTGAGGTAAGGTACTCTAGAGAATACAGTTTAGGGAGCTTGCAGTACCTTCAAGTTCCACCTGGTATTATTATTATTCCTATTACAGGCAAAAGTAAGAATTTTAAGCCATTAAGCTTTGGTTTGTCTTCAGGAAGCACAGAGAGAAGTCATACCTTGAATAGTATCATCTTTTTGAATTTCCGTCTCGTCATCATCATTTAAGCAGTAAACAGTTTCTTTTTGCACATCGTCTCTTCTGAGAGTTTTAGCGTCTACAATTGTCCAAGTTTTTTTCACCTTCTCTTCTGTAAGCTTTAGGTCAGAATTAGAAGAAACATTTAACACTTCAGTTGGATTCAGACTGCTTACCACAATGTGGAAAAAAACAAAATAAACAAAACTTAAACCCAGTGCTGGGTTATTTCACCAAGAAGAAACTAATAGCGACAGCCCCAAGTTTGCATCTGACTGCTACGACAGTGCTTTCAGCACAGTTTCATCTGTATGACAGCTACCAAACACTCAAACTATGCCATTACAAATGCATACTTGTCTTAGTTATTCGTTAAAATCATGGGCTAGGTCACCCGTGGAAGATTTCAGTCACAGGAGAACATGCACTTGCTTGCTACGCGTTTTACTTCTCCACCCTACATACTCACATTTTTGACAAAGCGTTAAAACGTACGTTAAAGAGATCAGAAGACTCCATGCTCATTCAGCTTGTTTGCCCAAGTTTTGCATAAGGCTTACTACACTATTACATAAAAATATCCTGTTACTGCAGCTTCCCGAAAAAGCACATAAACATACAAGCTATATTACAGGACCCAGAAGAGAAAGAAGGAATAAACATTGGCAACAAGTGAATTTTGCCAGATTACAGGTAAAGACAAATGCTTTCTTCTCTCCTCTACTTAAGTGAGATTGATGATGAACCTAGTGAAGGAGAAGAAAAATGGAGAACTGTGCAGAAAATGGAGAAGACAGAACAGACAAAGGCAGTAGATACCACAAGTCTACTCCTAGGTCTGACCCTAACTGCTGTATAACCTCAGGCTAGTTGCTTGGTTCATGTTTTTCGTTCTCTCAAGCACCATTGATTTACTTTGTAAATACCTTTGGGAAGGGATTCTTACTGTGGCTTTGCACAGGCCTGGCAGAATAGCCTAATCAAATTAAAAAAATATTTATGAACAAATATAAACAGAAAGCTGGCATCAGAGAGCTCTTCCAAGAATAAGAAGCCTATCTTTCAGAAGTCAGATACATTTCAACTTTGCAATACATCTTGTTGAAATCTTGCAATATTGTCCAGACCCCTACTTTGGGGTTTAAATAACAAGCCAAATAATCTCCATCTCACCAAAGCCATCACTACTACTGCACTATATGGTTACCGCATAATTATGCGGTCACCGGGATTTTGCACAATTTCTATGTTTAAACACAGTTCCTTCCTCTCAGTGCTATGTGAAAGATCCATATAAACTGTAAGGGAAATAGGCTGCATGGAAGCTCTGTCAAACAGTACAAAGTGAACAAGCTGAAAGGATGCATGAAATAACAATAGATGTAACCTGCAACAAAAGCTGGTGAAACATTTACAGACAGCATTTTATACACACACATGCATAACTTCCAGGCATGGGAGAAATTAAGGAAAACATTAAGTCTCATTCAGCTGCGGGCATTTCACCGATGCCAAAAGGAAAGCTTCGCACATGTGCGGCACGCTTAATGGTATTGAAGTTGACAAGCCTAATTAAGTGTCATATTGTGGATAGGAATTATTTCTATTTCTGTATATGATGAATTTCAGTTCTTTAACATATGTGTACAATATGGTAAAGTCAGAGTTGCTGTGGGAACGACAGCTTTAGAGGTACTGAGTTCTACACATACAAAATCTCTACCATAATTATTTAAAAAACAAAAAAAATGCTGCTGTACCTAAGCTGCTGCCCAGGTACACTACAACATATGATTTTTACTAACTTACTGCTTTGTAGGCCACAATCCTTATAGACAAATTAGAACCAATAGTCAAATGGCAGGGCCAAGCCGTAGGTCTTCTTTCCATTTTCTTGAACATGGAAAGACGTTCCAGGCTCTCTCTAAATGAGGGAATCGAGAAAACTGAAATGAACTCTTTGGTGAACTGTAACAAAATATTGCAGGCAATACACTCTCTATACACTCTCTCCAGGGAGATGCAGAAGCCCAATTGTTTCAGATTAGACTGCATAAAGCATTAGAAAATAAACTGCATGAGTCATCTTGTCATTGCCAGAAAGAAGAGAACGAACAAAAGAGGTGGCACAGTAAGTCATTCCCATCTCAAATCTTTATGATGCTGTGACATTAGGGCTTAAAAGCAGTATCTCAGGTCTTGTGGGGAAACTACGCTGCTTCTTATTCAGCATTTTGTATTTATCTCTGCTCACCCAATTATGACATGCAGTTGGCTGAACAATCCAAATTAGAAAAGCCTCCTATAAGTGATGAGATGTTTTCTGCAGTGGAGGTGAAGAAATGAAGAATTTGTTTTCAATTAACGTTATTTTGTTTGTCTGGTAGTTAACTTCTGACTTTTTTTTTTTTTTTTTAAAACACGGTACTAATGAACTCATCATTTTCTTAGCTCTGTTAGAATGAAACAGGTTACTTTGAATATTTCTAGTTCAAACAGTACATATGCAACTTTATAAAATAGAAAAAAAGGGAATGTTGATGTATTATATTAAAAAGTATTTACACAATTGCAAAACTTTAAGCAATGGAGCCCAAAAATGAAAAAGTTGGAGCTAAAAATGATAACATAATATTATAAAAATCAAATAGGCTTAATCTTTGCACGCCAGAACAGCTTCTAGCTAGTATAAAGTGCATTAGGTATTTTGCTATAAAATTCTAGTGCACATAAAGTACAAAGAAAATGTTGTCTTTACTGCACGATGAAGTAAAACACTACCGACTTCATTTTTTTATATCAAGAAAAACAACAAAAATGAAATTCTCTGTAACAGAGTACTTCTGGCAGAAATTAAGATAAACTTTTAACATATTAGCACAGAATTTAACTTGGACTTCTAATTTTTCACTCTCTGCAGAGGAGCAGGTTTTGGTGGTTTTTTTGAAAATTCTAACAGCACCATAATGAAAGGAGAAAATATATTAGGATTTTACAAGGAGATAAATATTAAATTTCATTTTTTTCTGGAGGAAAGAAAGAAGGAAAAATTACTTTTTCTGGTAACAGAGACATCAATACAGAATTTACAAAATATTACTTAAAAATTAAAATTATTTGTCACTATTTTCAAAAAGTTTAAGGTCATGCACATATTTAAGAACACATGGCTACACTGTTAGAACAATTGCAACACAAACAGTCAAGAAGAGATGTGAAAATCAAATCCCTAAAAAATGTAAAATCCCCAAGAATGTCGCATTAGCTCAATTTCTTAACTCTATCCTTTGTTCTTTATATTTGTAGAAGAAAAGCGTTCCCCGTTATCAAACGGGACCCAGCCACTAAAAGCCTAGCAAATACACGTTTCAAGTGGTATTTTAAAAATGTTTCTTCTCCTCTGCTCCCCAATCCCTTCCCCCGAAAGGTGAACTCAGCAGAAATGCCTAATGCCTCTTGTCCAAATTCCAGAATATCATCTTCCTGTTGGCAGTACTTCTAGAGCTTCCTCCCCGCCCCTGCACCTTGAAGGCCTTATATCAAGCCCTAAAATGATACAAAAACATTATCTCGCTTACTTTCCTGGCATGACTCATTTATTTTCATGAGAGTTAAATCTTTTTTTATTTTTATTTTTTAATTACCAGCAGCAACAAGGAAAAGAGGAAAACAGATAGCATGTCTGAGTTGGTAAATTATCATGACAGTTTTGCAAGGCTAACTTCTCAAAGCTGGATAAGCACCTTAACTGCATCTAAAACCTCACATGTTCTTAGACAACTTAAACAACTAAAGCTTTAATCTATTAGCCAAATGTCTATTTATCCAAAGATTATGGATTTCCCCTGAAGCCATGGCACAAAGACAGCTATACAGTAGCAGGAGTCTGAAAGAAAAAATAAAGAAGGGGCCAAACCACATAGCAGCTTCATGCATATGGATTATTCTAAAGGAAAACAGGGCCCAGAAAGATACTGCTCTTTTGTGGCTTTTTCTGTGTTTTTCAGTCTCTTGATGCAGTAACAAAGCTTTTTTTTTTTTTTTTTTTTCCTTCTTTTTTAAACTGTTTCGCAGAAAGGCTCAGGCTGCTCTGTTTGGTAGCATGGAATAAATAGACAGTGATGCTCATGTGTTTCTTCACCAATTCACACTAATGCTCAAGTAACAGTAACTTGCTGTTGAGATAAAGCAGATCAGTTTGGCAGCGTGAGGGAAGGAAACTCCCCAAATAAAACAATGAACAACAATATGCAAACCTACAGCTACCACCCTCACTTAATGACCCCATATGATTAAAAATTATATGCGACAATTGCATTACTGCTATGAACTAATAAGCTTCCTGAAAAATACATTGTCCAAAAGCTCACTTTATAATTATAGAATGGAACTACTACGACAGTAAAAGCAGGCTTTTGTAAGACACGATTTTCTTTGGAGCACACATGCAGTTTTCTTGTTTCTCAACTGACACACCTGTGTGGAACAGTCTCACATATACCATTAGCAACAGTTTTCCAGGGACAAACGTTTTTATTGTTTCACTGGGGAGACATCAGGTGTAAAATAATCTTTCGATTCTTTCATTAGGGATACAGCTAAAAAAGTATGTTGTTTGGCACGATGACACAGTTGTCTGTGATTAAAGAGCAAGATTCAAGAAATAACATTTCTGTTAATGTCTGTGGGAGTTTGATAAACCAGTGAGCTACAAGAAGCCTGAAATCAAGAAAGGCTACCATTAAATGCAAATGTTCTACCTGCACCGTATCACATATTCCAATTCTTTCAAAAACATGCTTTCAACATCTCATTTATAGAAACATTCCCTCAAAAACGCTTCAACACAAAAGATGTAAGGAAAATTCATTTTCCACCAAAATCTGTAAGCTTTTCTACCCATTCTAAAGGCACTGAAGAAGTTGCTCGAAAGCTACTGAATATGCAGTAAGTAATAAAATTCATTGACTTCAGTAAAACTGAAAGTCATGTGACTGACCACTAAATTTAATCATTTGGGGAAGAAATTAGAAAGCAAATTTACAGTGTGATAAAGAAGATTAGCCAAGTTTACCTGAAAGTGTAAATTTCTTCCAGTCCTCCTCCTTCATCCAAAGTATGCATCAGTTTCTTGATCACATGGATGCCTTCCTTCTGCTGCTCAGTTATCCCCTTTCTCGCAAAAGAGTTTCTCTGCTCATGAGAATGTGCACTGGCACTTGCATCTCCACCTCCATCATCAGCATCAACTGAAAATGGTAGGCTAAGATCACAGGAAGCAGCAGTTAGTTTATTTTTCTTCTCAACTAAAAACAAAGCAAAAAACTTATCAGGAGTCACTCTTTATATATCTAGCTGCGGTTAGACATATCAACAGCTGTATGGCTTGCTAAACCCATGAAGTAATCCTTCATGTCTGCTTAGCATTAGTAACATCTTGGCTAGCGTATTGCACAAGTTCTGGGTACTACATTTCTTTAAAAACGTGCACCTCCTGCATCTGTGGAAGGTGTTGGGAAGCAAAGACAATGCTGACTAGAGAACAGGACCTACAAAGAAAGATAAAACAAAAAGCCTGCAGAGAAGGGAGTGAAAAGGCAGGAGAGATGTGAGAGTCACTGACTACCTAAAAGCTACTGTGGAAAGGAAGGGAACAATCTGTTCTTCACGTTCAGCCTGCACTCAAATGACATCATGAAGGAGTCAGGTGAGATATTCAAAGAACTGATAAAGGTAGTTCAAACCATAATCTCTGGAACAGACTGCCTGGGGAGGTGGAAGAGTCTCCATCACTGGAAACATTTATGAAAAGATTAGACAAACACTGGTCAGAAATGACATATACAGAACTGACATAGGCTGAGGCAGAGGATTGGTTTAGATGACCCGTTAAAGGCCATTCCAGGCCTGCGATTCTAGGTCAGCTCTAAATGCCAGCAAACAGGTCTTTCTCTGCAGTGGGGCAATTAGATATTTCTGAAATAAACGTTACTCTGTATGAGATTTTAATAGCTTATAACACTAGGTGAATTTCTGACCGAAAAAGATATTTTTTGCATTTTAAGAATCAAAATTAAAAATTTAACTGGGGTTCCTAAATAACGTGATTTTGCTGCTCTTCAAATTATACCATTGAGTTAAGTAAGTACAATAACCACAGAAGAGAGGTGCATATGACTCCACTCTGTTCCCCTGACAATGCCTGCAGATTTTAAATTCTTTCACTTAATCCAGTTCTGAATGAACTACATGATACCTTTTACCATACTTCAACAAAGTAACAGAATTCTAGTATTGTACTATATTTTCAAAAGAGCAACCTACATTTTATCTAGCTTACTTTCACCTCATTAGTCCTCATTAAATTTTATCTGTGGAACAACATATAATAAGCAGAGTTAACAATAAGCACAACATAGTATCACATACAGCGGAATCAGAGATCAAATATCTGCAAAGTGTATGGTCTCTTTTAGGAAGCAATATCCATTGACAGACAGGAAAACTGTATTTTAAAGCCACTATGGGAGCAAAAAGCTTCAAACCCCTGATTCATAGCAGTTAAGATTACTGTTAATATACCCTGCTTAGAGACTACCGTGATGGGAGCTGCGTAATAACCAAAGCTACACAGCGCTCAGGATGTGCTCAACACTTGGCAACAGGGAGGAAGACCAACTATCTGCCACAAGTTACGACCTAATCAATAAACAGGGCAGAAGAGATGGAAGAACAGGTTATAACAAATGGGCATGGTTTAGCTAGAAATGATTTTCAACTAGCATCCTAAGAATTGTATATTTGTATAGGTATTTCTCAAAGCACCATTTGTTTATGCAGACCGGGAGACAGGGTGTAAATCTGTAGTTGACACTGTAACAACAACATTTCCCTAGCGCTTACATTAGCCACAGGGATCTTCCTCTGCTATGTTGCAAGCAAACAAAATGAAAGATGTATCAGAAGTCTCACAGACAACTAAACTGCAATGTCAACTTGTGATGCTAGCATCTGTGCTACTCAGCACAGCAAACCTGTATGGAGACAAGACAGCAGGGGCTTTAAGCTGCACTAGCAATCAGAGTAGATAAGAGGTCTCAAAGACATGCACTCTGGTTGACAGCACGCACTCAGGTTCATAGCGTTGTTTCTACTGCCAATGTTACCAACAACAGTTCAAATAAACTCGAAGAGACGTAACAATGCACATTTCAAGTATGCCTTCTTTTTGCCATGTAGATAGAGTATGAGTAACCCGACATTTTTACATTCAGCCTCTCCCAAGTACATCTGTGGAGGATCAACCCATGATTTTCAGCCAGACTGTTCCCATCTACCTTTTCCCTTACACTACCTCCTGCCTATGCCAATATATTAGTTCAAAATGCTTTCTAAGAATGCCTCAGTCACCTTGCAGATGAGTGGACAAACGGCTTGGATGAGGAGCAACGTTGGGAACTTGATATTAACAGAATGTTGGACTCGGGCGATAAGTACTAAAAACGGTCAGAAATGAAGCAAAAGGTTTAACTTTCTCCAGTAACAACTAATATAGATTCCAATACCATCCTTGACTCTTTTGATCAATGCCTACACCAAGATAACCAAGGAATTCTGGTCATAACCGGATACTGCTTCCATCTTCCAACCAAGCCCATCACCGAACGTATTATCCTTCTCTTCCCTCTCACTTCCCTATTGACATCAATATTATACTATAAATATCTGCAACACCATTTCCTTATTTTTCCCCCAACATCTCTCTTATCCAAAAAGGTCTAGACTGTTGCTGTGACAAGACCACTGTTTCTTAAGCTATTTTTGCCTCATCGTTTCCCACATCTCTGCTTGTATACAACTTTTGTCTCCCATTTTAAACTCTTAAGTATAAACTATAAGCTTAACTACAGAAGAAATCATCATTTTAATGTGCATTTGCACGTTACTTAAAACGGGAGACTTAGTTCATAAATTCATGACACTAATCCATATAACAGCATGCCATAATAATACCATATGACCTCTATAGAGGTTAAACCTCTTTAGAAAAAACACACCAACCACATCAGCAGGTCCTTTAAGACGGCTATTAAAAAAAGAATAATCATTTCCCTTTGAAAAGGGCAGTGTTTAACAGCCACTTCCATACTTACAAAAATTGAAGCAAAGTTCCTGTTTTCTTCAAGTTAGCGACGATAATTTCCAACTGATCCTCGCTGACAGGACTGCTAAGGTCTGTAAACAGTTCTATGTGTCTCTTCTCACACTTCTTTCCTCTTAAAACACCAAAAGAGCATTTTTATGTTTGTGTCTATATGTACACATATTTCAAAAAAATTATCTAGAAGGGCGTTAGTTTTTAATTTCCCACTTACAAAAATGAAGCTCAAAAAAATATAATTTCTTTCCAGCTATAAACCTGTCCTTGTGAAAGCGTTAAATGTATTTTAAATAGGTGTTACTGGGGATTTTCCATTCAAGGAAGCTAACTCAGTAGAATCATTGGATAAGTAGGACTTTAAAGCCTACTTAACATGCTAAGTTCTCTCTCACAAATAAACGTTAACAATAACATCCCAACTTGATACAAAGATTTCATCCACGGTTATTTTCAGAAGTTAGTTTTGCTCTTTGCTCTTATCAAACCTAAACTTACTGACCAGAAAGACCCTCTATAAACTCTGCTTAGCATACAACAAAATTAGAAACAACTCAGTTTTAAAAGTTAAACTGCTATAGCTTTCCATCCAGGTTAGCCTTTATTAATAAAAATACAAACTTGCATCACCGAGTCCAGTCCTCGGTAACCACAACTAGATCATATAATCCTTCCCAAGAGCGCTCAACCTTCATTTAAAGAATAATTAAGCTTCTCTCCCTTGCTCTGCACTCCTCTTGGAACACCAGTCCACTAATTGTTAGAAATCATCATTTTTACAGTCCAAGTATATTCACAGACAACTTTATAACTCTTGTTCTTGTGTCAAAATTACCCTTTAGCTTGAACAGTTTTCTTCCTACAACATATTTATCTCCCCCAGCCTGTATACTTACAGGCAGCTACCTATCTCCAACTACCTTCATTTTGCTAAAGTTGGAGAAACTCAGACTTTCTAGTTTTGTTTTTTAAATTTGTAAGATATGCTACTACTCTGATAAATTTGGTAGCCCTTTTCCACACCTGTTAATGTCTGAATTATCTGAATTATCGTTTCTTGAGAACAGATAGCAAGAAATGTGATACTGTTTAAAGTGATGTCTTCATGCCTGGTACAATAGCATTAATGTTCTCATGTGTCTACTGCAGAACCCTCAGTTGAATCAGAAAGCTCTTGAATTGTCTGGGGAAGCTAGATTTCTCCTGGGGACTCTTCAGAGACAGAATCCAGTAATGATTTTTTTTTTTTTAAAAGCATTTTCCATATTTACACAATACTGCAGTACTGACAAGAAGTCAGATCAGCTCTGACACTTGGGCACAGAATTCTATAAAAGACTGTAGGTTACATACTTACATTGTTTGCTTCTGAAGCAAGTCCATGCACACAATAATTGCATCCAGAACTGAGTAAATTAAAGAAAAATCTATTCAAAACATGAATCATGTCAGAGAGTGCTTTTTTTTCCTATGATACAATCTTCTGTTTTCACACCCCCAAACACAGCCATACACATATTCTAGTTTAACAAGCAAACAATTTTTTGAATTGACTATTCTTTAAGTATGTACTGTGCAAGAGATCCCTATATAATTTGCCTGTCTTATTATCTTTTCTCTATTTATTTGATGGAAAAGTAAAAAGACTATTTCAGGGCCCAATCCTTTAACTGTCCATGAGGAGGCTCAAGCCCAATGAAAGAATAATCTAATATTTACACTTACAGTCTTATTTGGTATCCATAAACAAAACTTACTTGTATTTTCAATATATAATATCATTTGTTCATGTTAATTTCCCTTTAAAATATCTGCACCTGATATCTCTCGATAATTTCTTTCTCAGAATAATTTTCAATGGGAACATGCTTTTAATCACTGTGCTCAAACCCGTTCATCCATCAAAGAAAGACTATGACTTTACTTCTGGTAAGATACAATTGACTGGCTGTAGGCTTCTCTGAAACAGCTCTCTGATAGCCTGAACAGACGCACAAAATTAACTTTTTGGGAAAAAAAGTTGATTTCTTCCTAGAAAGAGGGACGACAACAAGGTAAACCGGAACATTTTTTAAGTGAAACATACAAAGGAACACTCTGCAGATAGCCTTATTTTAAAGCTCTTCATCTCATATAGCTAACAATAGAATAAACAATTCAAACTATTAAGTGACACTTCACAATGTTAGAAATACTTCATACTGAAACCAATCTGATAAACTCCTAGCATATTCTGCTTTGTCTGGCTTCTAATACTTCTGCTGACATGAGAAATATTTTGTAAATAACATTTTTATTTGATGAAAAAGCATGCACTTTCTGCAACACTATATTAACACACATATCTTATTTGAGGCCTAAAACTGTATTATTGCTGTCTTTTTTCTCTTAATTAATAGAACATTTCATAAGGGCAACAATTCCCTGAGGCCAAGACTCCATCTACTACCTTAAAAGAACGTCAAAAAGCAGCTAATTTGGTTTTGAACCAATTTACAACACCAAATTAGCTGGGCTTTGATTGCAGTTACAACTTCAGCGGCAATTCTGGGCCCATTTCACAACACTACTTCCTGTCTTCTGTGGAGCTGAATCAGTTTAAGAGGTGTTCTACAACAAAAAGGATACAGTCTGCTTGCTCAGAGCCTGGTTGAATCACATTTTGAATATCCTCCAGCAAGTCAAAATCTGGCAGCATCAGTGATCTATGTACAGTAATGTTTTGATATTGATCCCCACTAGCAAGGTCATTCCTAGTACCATCTGTGCCAAACAACACTACAGCGACTTCATCTTTACTTTCAGCAAAAACCTGGAAAAAGAAAATGCAAAATAGGTATAAAAACACAGGTAGACTCATACATACCTATGTTACGTAGACAGCAAGCTGAACTAATTTTGCAATGGAGGACGAGTTACAGTGGGTTTACTTTTTCAATGCCATCACAAATATAATCCTACTAAAACGTACACTGGCTGACTTATTCATCAAAATGAGTCTTCAGTGCAGTCAACCTTCAGAACGCTAAAAGGTTTTTGAAATAGATGACTTTTTTTTTTTTTTCCTAAAAGCTTCTTTTGGCCTAAAGAAAAAGAGCGACCAATCAAAGTGCCAGATCTCATCCACAGAAGTATAGCCGAAATGAAGAACACTGTTATTCCTGCATGAAAAGAAGCTACTTCTTACTCATTTCTCATTTACTTTAATTACTAAGCAATGAGGAAAAACACTTCATGAATGTATATCCTTTCCATTTTTAACATTTTTTTAATCCCATGTAAAGTCACAAGTACCTGTCGCTGCACAAACTTTGTCATAACCTTCTTGGCTTGTTCAAGTGGAGACTCCTCACCAGGAGCAGCATTGCTCATTGTAAAGCTTACATCCAGACACAGCACTATGGCTGCCTAGAAAGGAGACACAGTATTGAGTAAGAACGTAAAAGGTACAATAGAAGTGTGATTACCTAAAGGAGTTAGTTCAGATCTATGGTACGTTCCAGGTATCTCAGTGGAAAATATAAGAACTCTTATGTTATACAATAATTCTTCAAGAGAGTTCATTTCTATTCAATCAGCAGTTACCTTGTGAAAACCTAATGCATCTAATGGCTCTTCTACACTAGGAAATGAAACACAGATGTTTCAGCTGACAATTACGGGCTCAACACAAGGCAGTATATCCGCACAGCACAAGACGGAGACGCTAGCCTGCTCCTTAAGTTACGTAGCTACCTCTGCTCCACACAGTTCCTCATAATAGCTATAGAGGTTCTCAGATATCATTGCGCTAATCTGCTTTTGGCTGCTGTTTGGTCCAATTCAGGAACACAGGAACGGCTGCACTACTGTGGCTTCCAGTGGCAGAGCCAGAACAATCACTGCTACTTGGCTACTAGCATTGCCTCTGCAGTGAGCCCCAGTGTCCGTAGAATGAGCTATGCTCTTAATGACTTGGAGTATGAATTCCTATTTCAATTTAAGGGCTTAAATTCCACAAGCTAGCATATGATTTTGCATTTCTGATCATTGCTTTAACTGATTTATATACAACAATGCCCAAGTCTTTCCCTTGAGTCATTTACAAGCCAGCGTGTGAATAAAATCAAATTTTTTCTTCCGCTTTCTCTTATTCAGCATTTATTAATAATGAGTATTATCTACAGTGCATTGCCCGTTCAGCTAGCTTTGTTAAGTTCCTCTAAATTCTTTTTTTAATAGATTCTACTCATCTTAGCTAATCTCAGCAAATGCATCATCTAGCTGAATGTAGCCAAAAGGCAAAGTTTTGTCTTACACCTGCAGGGACAGTGACAAAAAGCCAGTTCAGATTTGTACTCACTGACTAAGCCAATTTAAAAAAAAAAAAAAAATTAACATCTTTTCTCGTTGACAGCAAGAAACTTAAATTACACTGTCCACAAAAAAAAAAAAAAAAATTACCAGAATAGAGGAGAGTTGGATATTTCTTAGTTTGGAGTCAGTCACCTTGTTTTAAAATACAAAATATATCCAATTGTCTAGAAATGAAGCTGCCAGAATGATGGGGGCATTAAAGCAGAAAATTGAGAAGAGAAACAGGCTGTACAGTCTGCTTTTCTGAGGACTTAATGCATTTGACTCAGCTCCCTGCCTGTTCCAGAATGCAGTAAAAATTAACTAACATTTTTACAGTATTCCGAGATCCTCAATTGGAAATCAAAGTGACCTTTTGCTTGTCCTTTCAAGTAATACTGCAAAGCTATTTCAAGTTGTACAAGTTTTCTAAAAGCAACAGGAATAAAATAAAGAGACTTACTAAATTACAGTTACAGGAACAAATGTGATGGCAGAGCAGTACAGCATTTCACTGTCTCATGTGATATCAACATTTCTTAGGTAATGGAAGGAGAAATGCACACACAGCCCTCGGCCCCTGTATACTTTCAGGTGCTGCAAGTTAACTATTATTACTCAATCAATTTGAGTACAAGAAATGCCATGCTCAACTCTTCTGTTACAATTTATATAACAGTATGTCTTGATAGCTACTACCAAAATCTACTCTTTCTAGAGAGGCTCCTGAGCCATCGCATTGTTTAATGAGATAAATCCCTCTTTTGAAGGCTTCCAGGTAGGATGAGAGTATCTTAGCCAAACCCTGCCAAACGTTTTTTAGGAAGTCTCATTTAGGCTGGCTAAGGTGAACATTTTCTCCTTATATCTTTGGAGACTTCTGAGAGAGTGAGGTAAGAGAGACAAAACAGGCATTTTCCATCAGTGACTCTTTATGAAAATAATATATATATAAAATTGAAGACAGCATTTCTATCAATTCAGTACCTCAAAAAAGGTCACACATACAGTTAGCACATAAAATAAACACAAGTAAAGACAAACTGGCTGTTCTGCCTTTTTACCCCGTGCACTTGGCAACACCTAACGTAGTCAGTAATGTTCCCCATTTCACACAGTAATACGATGGTGATGCAGATCTGTACAGAATTTCACACCCATGCTTTACTCCAGGACCTACATAAGGGTGCTTATCAGCACATGCCACAACAACGTTATGTCTTAAAGGCAGCAAAGGAATGAACACAAAGAAAAGACGGTAAGACTTGGTCTAACCCATCTTATATGGGCCTACAAATAGTTCCAAGCATATTTTTAAATATCTATAAGCAAAAAAAAAAAATTATTTTGTCCCCAAATAGATAAGATGTTTTTGTAAGTATCACCAGTAGGAATTGTTTGCCCAGGATGGATGTTTAATGCTCTGTATCAGCAGTTGCCAAACTATTTTCTCATCCTCCTCTTTTCGGAACACATCGTGCATCTCTCCTGTCATTTTAATAACCATGGGTTTAACTGACTTCCTCTACATACATAGCAAATCCTCCCAGAAAAGGACAGGGAAAGGCGAGATAGAGAGGGCTGTGTAAAAGAACTCCACGTGACATCCTGTAGTCCCAGCGCCCTGCTCATCACTTGCCTTTCACTGGCATTGCCTGGGAGCCAGGAATCCAGGTCTCTGAAGCAGCCAGGTCTGCAAAGAGGCTTAGAGTGGAACAGGGCCAGTAACGGGGGCTGCACAAAGTTGTCACAGGAGCCTTGTTACTGCTCACCTGCCAGCCTGAGGAATGGCAGTGACAAGCTTCTCCAAGAGCCTCAGCAACTGCAGGCCCTCTGCTTGTCACCATTCTGCTTCAGGACACACAGTGGTTGGTAGCTAACGTAATTCTGTTGCCCAAAAGGGGTAAAACGCTCTTTACAGCTGGCAAGAGGAGCGCAAAGAAATAGCAGGTGCAGGAGTGAAGAACTACTGTTTTGCTTGAGGAAAAAATGATCACGCGTCAACTGCTAACATGCTCTCTTGAAAGGCAGCAAACCCCACGTCCTAGAACTACGCAGCAGTAAAGAATCCTGTTTCAAGACAAGGGCAGGGCTCTTGGCCACAGAGTTTTTTGTGATCCTCCTCTATATGTCTCTTCATCTGTTATTAACCTCTATGCATCTCATCTTTGAGCATCCACTACTGCCATTTTCAGGTGCAGTATGCTAAGCTACTTTTACAAGACACTCCAGATGCGTGACTGTAGGACAACCTGAACTAACAATAACCTACTTTGTTCAAGTACTAATAAAGGTGAGGCCTAAATGAGGCTGCTTTTATCTCCAGCCTCTCAGTGCTGAAACTAGTTATAATATAGCTAACTGGCAAACAACTACAACAGCATTTTACTGTGCAATGCAGACAAACCCAATATTGAGCACATACTAAACCGCTGGGTATCAGAAGAGGTCTTGCTACAGCTTTTGCCAACAGGACTCCTTAAACGTACCAAATAAACTATGTTCGGTATAAAGCAAAGCTGTTCCTACTATGATTTCAAGAAGGGCAACGACAACTACAACCATATCTGCGCTGCAGTCAACAGTGCAACTGCACCTAAGGCAGAAAAACCGAAGTCATTTTGAATTTGCTAGCTTTGTACCAGTAGGCAGCTCAGAGACCAGCAGAGGTTAATGGCCTGGGAATTACTCCATTTCTTAGGTGGGTTCTGCAGTCCTGGCTACTGTGCTGTTTGTTGCTAAAATCCACGTTTGCTCACTGAAGGCAAGCCTGGGTGTTCCCCGGCCGCAGCACAGGCTGCCTAACAGAGGTAAAACAAGCCCCTTCGGTGCGCAGCAGCGGACCA